TACGATGTTATAAACAACATACCAACAGTACGATGTTATAAACAACACACCAACAGCACGATGTTATAAACAACACACCAACAGTACGATGTTATAAACAACATACCAACAGTACGATGTTATAAACAACATACCAACAGGAGGATGTTATAATCAACATACCAACAGTACGATGTTATAAACAACATACCAACAGGAGGATGTTATAATAAACATACCAACAGTACGATGTTATAAACAACATACCAACAGTACGATGTTATAAACAACATACCAACAGTACGATGTTATAAACAACATACCAACAGGAGGATGTTATAATCAACATACCAACAGTACGATGTTATAAACAACATACCAACAGTACGATGTTATAAACAACATACCAACAGTACGATGTTATAAACAACATACCAACAGTACGATTCTATAAACAACATACCAACAGTACGATGTTATAAACAACATACCAACAGTACGATGTTATAAACAACATACCAACAGTACGATGTTATAAACAACACACCAACAGCACGATGTTATAAACAACATACCAACAGTAGGATGTTATAAACAACATACCAACAGTACGATGTTATAAACAACATACCAACAGTACGATGTTATAAACAACATACCAACAGTACGATGTTATAAACAACATACCAACAGTACGATGTTATAAACAACATACCAACAGTACGATTTATAAACAACATACCAACAGTAGGATGTTATAAACAACATACCAACAGTACGATTTATAAACAACACACCCACAGTAGGATGTTATAAACAACATACCAGCAGTACAGTGTTATAAACAACATACCAACAGTACGATACTATAAACAACATACCAACAGTAGGATGATATAAACAGCATACCAACAGCAGGACAGTATAAACATTAAGCCAGATATTATCGACAACATTTTAACAGTGGGATACAAAAGACACACACGTGTGTTAACAGTAGGATACTTTATAGAACATACATGTAATTTTTGTTACAGTGTTATAAAGTTTTCACGATAAAGACTTGGAAGGTTCTCAGGAGAAACATCTTGAAATCTTGATTAACTCTAAACTTTTAAGCTATATTAGATTCTTTGGATAAGGATTTATATAATTGCCTCCTTGAAAACAGTAGGATATTATAAACAACATACCATTCATTGAAACCATCCATATTCACTTAAATCATAAAATATATCATTGATGTCAGCAACAAATACAGTATGCTTTTTAATTAAAAGTTCTGTGAACATTCCTTCAGATAAGTCCTGTGGATTTGACTACCATCTCTACCCTAGTGTACATGTGATATAACACAGTAGATAAGTCCTGTGGATTTGACTACCATCTCTACCACAGTGTACAGGTTATATAACACAGTAGATAGGTCCTGTGGATTTGACTACCATCTCTACCCTAGTGTACATGTGATATAACACAGTAGATAGGTCCTGTGGATTTGACTACCATCTCTACCACAGTGTACAGGTTATATAACACAGTAGATAGGTCCTGTGGATTTGACTACCATCTCTACCACAGTGTACAGGTTATATAACACAGTAGATAGGTCCTGTGGATTTGACTACCATCTCTACCACAGTGTACAGGTTATATAACACAGTAGATAGGTCCTGTGGATTTGACTACCATCTCTACCCTAGTGTACATGTGATATAACACAGTAGATAGGTCCTGTGGATTTGACTACCATCTCTACCCTAGTGTACATGTGATATAACACAGTAGATAGGTCCTGTGGATTTGACTACCATCTCTACCCTAGTGTACATGTGATATAACACAGTAGATAGGTCCTGTGGATTTGACTACCATCTCTACCCTAGTGTACATGTTATATAACACAGTAGATAGGTCCTGTGGATTTGACTACCATCTCTACCCTAGTGTACATGAGATATAACACAGTAGATAGGTCCTGTGGATTTGACTACCATCTCTACCCTAGTGTACATGAGATATAACACAGTAGATAGGTCCTGTGGATTTGACTACCATCTCTACCCTAGTGTACATGTTATATAACACAGTAGATAGGATTTGACTACCATCTCTACCCTAGTGTACATGAGATATAACACAGTAGATAAGTCCTGTGGATTTGACTACCATCTCTACCCTAGTGTACATGTTATATAACACAGTAGATAGGTCCTGTGGATTTGACTACCATCTCTACCCTAGTGTACATGTTATATAATACAGTAGATAGGTCCTGTGGATTTGACTACCATCTCTACCCTAGTGTACATGAGATATAACACAGTAGATAAGTCCTGTGGATTTGACTACCATCTCTACCCAAGTGTACATGTTATATAACACAGTAGATAGGTCCTGTGGATTTGACTACCATCTCTACCACAGTGTACACGTGATATAACACAGTAGATAGGTCCTGTGGATTTGACTACCATCTCTACCCTAGTGTACATGTGATATAACACAGTAGATAGGTCCTGTGGATTTGACTACCATCTCTACCCTAGTGTACACGTGATGTAACACAGTAGATAGGTCCTGTGGATTTGACTACCATCTCTTCCCTAGTGTACATGTGATATAACACAGTAGATAAGTCCTGTGGATTTGACTACCATCTCTACCCTAGTGTACACGTGATGTAACACAGTAGATAGGTCCTGTGGATTTGACTACCATCTCTTCCCTAGTGTACATGTTATATAACACAGTAGATAGGTCCTGTGGATTTGACTACCATCTCTACCCTAGTGTACATGAGATATAATACAGTATATAGGTCCTGTGGATTTGACTACCATCTCTACCCTAGTGTACGTGAGATATAATACAGTAGATAGGTCCTGTGGATTTGACTACCATCTCTACCCTAGTGTACATGAGATATAATACAGTATATAGGTCCTGTGGATTTGACTACCATCTCTACCCTAGTGTACGTGAGATATAATACAGTAGATAGGTCCTGTGGATTTGACTACCATCTCTACCACAGTGTACACGTGATATAACACAGTAGATAGGTCCTGTGGATTTGACTACCATCTCTACCCTAGTGTACATGAGATATAACACAGTAGATAGGTCCTGTGGATTTGACTACCATCTCTACCCTAGTGTACATGAGATATAACACAGTAGATAAGTCCTGTGGATTTGACTACCATCTCTTCCCTAGTGTACATGAGATATAACACAGTAGATAGGTCCTGTGGATTTGACTACCATCTCTAAATAAGAGACATCTGATTGGTTTACAATGTTATCTTGAGATGGTTTAGTTCTTGATTCTTTGCCCACCATCATCAGACTGTGAGCTGGTCAAATTAATTTCTCCCATGGTCCGTCCGTCTTTTTTTCCGTCCTAAGACAAGTGCTGTTATAGCTATATCTTAGTTATTACTTAATTGCTCTTTCAAATATAATGTAATTATCAACTGAGAGTCTTGTCATAGGTTGCAGCGGTACGTTTATATTGATCCATTAGCTTCTTCCATAGTAGTTATTTAACAAGTGACTGACATACAATGGTGTATGTTAACTGACTACCCTTCCAAATTGTTGTTAAAGATATATGTTGTTCTTGTAATGATGAAGTATATTGATATGTTGGTATTTCGTTTTGTTTCAGGTATTTGGTATTTTTGTCCATTTCATTGCAGGATATAGACAACTGATAGACAAACACAGGACTTCCTTAAACGATGCGGATTGTCAACGATTATGTGGAAGGTGTAAGGTCGGTCGTTACAAAGAACTCATCTCGAAATAGTATGTTTCTTCGTGTAATTTGAAATCAGGAGTGTTCCATTCTCGTCAGCATGCCCAATGTATCCGTCAGCTCACGTCGTTGTTGATCTTGTTCTTATTTGATAACGTGACATTCTATGTTGACCAAGCAGCAGATGACACGTTCCCTTCCAAAACACCTGGATGTATTCTCCTTTTATCATGTAAGCAGTCTACGTGTAAATCTTTCACGTTTTGTTCTAGTTTGAATCCTAATCGAGGCTTCTGTTGACAAGTCAGTATTTTCTTTGTTGTTGCATGTCCAGTCTATATCTATTATATATGTTCATCAATTGCTCAAAAACTTCGGTATAATTTTGTATGTACACATTAGAAATCTATTGTATTGTTACAGAAATTTCTGAACTATGACTTTCTTGTTACAATGATACGATATTTTCATACCTTTCACCATGTCAATGGATTTACATACATGAGCTGTTGTGTGTCCTGCCGTCTATCCGTCCATGTATCCTGTTTGTCAGTTAGATATAGATGTGCATTGACTGAAACATTTATCAGTCGTTAAAGATCGGTAATTGGTCAATGCTAAATAATCAAACAACTAACACGTGATATATGTATCACATTGGCTTATTTATTCTATATATTGTATCGGTGTGTAAATGACATTGACTTGAAGCTACTGGGACACGTTAGTAATTCCTTGTATAACACGCAGTATCTATTATTCTGTGTTGAGAGGATCCGGCCATACTCTTAACATCTGTATTACATACAATGTAGCACTGTGTGGTATCACTAGTTAACTTTAGTGTGAGTTGTGATTTTTATCATTTATTCCTGTGTGATATCACTAACTTCTGTGTGGTACCACTTGGTTCTGTGTGATATCGCTTAGTTCTGTTTGGTACCACTTAGTTCTGTGTGATATCAATTAGTTCTGTTTGATACCACTTAGTTCTGTTTGATATCACTTAGTTCTGTTTGATACCACTTAGTTCTGTTTGGTATCACTTAGTTCTGTTTGATATCTCCTGTGATACCACTTAGTTCTGTTTGATACCACTTAGTTCTGTTTGATATCACTTAGTTCTGTTTGATATCAGTTCCTTTGTGAAATATACACAAATATCCACATATTACATTAAGACATATTGTATCACCTACGTCTGTGAGTTATATACAGTGTCCGAAATTCCACACATGTTAAATGTTGTATCATATTAAACCCAGTTGTAACAAGTTTGGCGGTTCCTCTTTTGTCCTGTTGCCGAAATATCATGGTTTCATTAGACTGGCACACCGATCATTTTGTCATAGGGTTTACTAATACCTGAAACAAAACATAAAACAAATTGTTAGTTTTATCATACTTAAAAAAAGTAAGAGAGGTTTGTTTAAAGTATATGTATATATGTTGACTTTATTTATTTCAAAACTAATGAGAAACAAGCTATCAGGTTTTAAAACTATTTTTCATGGCCCTGATGGAAGCGGGTGGGAGGAAATCGGAGTACCCAGGGGAAACCCACATGGTCGAGCAGGCGACCCGATACCTTTTCACGTCCGTTCAGAGAATCGAACCCTGAAGGTGAAAGGCGAGTGCGTTACCACAGCGTCATCTGACCATCCAGAGAAATCCTAGTTTTATTCTCCTTGTACTTTTTCAGGAGTCTCCATGTAAATCTTTGTTCAAATTTTGTCCTAGTTTTCTGAAATTTATGTTTGGATGATGATTGTGTTGCCGTGTTGGTATTTTCCTGTTGGTTGTAGATGTACCATCCCCCGAGAAACATTTAGTTGTAGTATAAGGTTAAGTATATGACAGTTTACACATAATACGTATCTTCTTACGACAATGAATATCTCTTCCTAAACGTATTTCCTATACAAGGTCGATCCCATCTAAACAGGAAGTCAATCATTTGCCCTATGTGCCCCTGTCTTTGGTTACCAGTCTCCGGCCAAGTATATCAAACATGTATGTATCAGATCACAATACTATCGCTCTACACTCGACAGGGTTTAATTTCATTTTCATCACTGGAATATCAGAATTGAAATAAATTTACTGAAATTTGATACCAAAACCGCATGTTCACTTCAAAAGGTATTTTGAGACGTTAGGTCTACACAAGGAAAAATCTCAGGGTACAGTACTCATTAATAAAAGCGATATTTTCTTTCAAAAGCATTCAAATTCACAAATATTTCTGTTCACATGCAAAACAAGACATCTTGTAAATAAATCCCCCTTTCTATTGAGGAACCCATTACAATAATGCGCACCCTGGTGGTAATTAGTTACGTTATAAGAACACAAATATCAAAGAACATTCGTCTAAAATAATATAGCGATACTTCCTACTCAAACCTCAAACTCGGTATTCTGTATAACACCGTGCTTGAAGTAACATCGGGAAGATTTATCCTCTTAACACAATTAGTAATAGCATACAGTATACTTAATATTTACATATATCCCTTCAATCTCACGAGAAACATTTCATGTTGTTTAGATTTTACATAAGACACACAAGTGATAAGAATAGTTAGCACCTTTCTATACATGCTTAGAACTAGAAACAGCATTGTCAAATATGGAATCAAGCTGATGATGCTGAGCTGAACCGTAAAGCCTTCAAGACGATTTTGAAAAATGAAAATTATTTGAAAGAAAGTACAAATGCTACGTGCACTATAACCTCAAAGTTTAATAGATTCAACATATTCAAATAGTACACCACTTTAAAATGTACGTGTATGAATTAAAGCGTGGCATGACGTTTAAAGTACATAAAGTATACTGACGGTTTTAACTCTGTGTAAGATAGATACATGTAGTACACTGACGGTTTTAACTCTGTATCAGATAGATACATGTAGTATACTGACGCTTTTAACTTTGTATAAGATAGATACATGTACTATACTGACGGTTTTAACTCTGTATAAGATAGATACATGTAGTATACTGACGGTTTTAACTCTGTATAAGATAGATACATGTAGTATACTGACGGTTTTAACTTTGTATAAGATAGATACATGTAGTATACTGACGGTTTTAACTCTGTATAAGATAGATACATGAAGTATACTGACGGTTTTAACTTTGTATAAGATAGATACATGTAGTATACTGACGGTTTTAACTCTGTATAAGATAGATACATGTAGTATACTGACGGTTTTAACTCTGTATAAGATAGATACATGTAGTATACTGACGGTTTTAACTCTGTATAAGATAGATACATGTAGTATACTGACGGTTTTAACTCTGTATAAGATAGATACATGTAGTATACTGACGGTTTTAACTCTGTATAAGATAGATACATGTAGTATACTGACGGTTTTAACTTTGTATAAGATAGATACATGTAACATGTAGTATACTGACGGTTTTAACTCTGTATAAGATAGATACATGTAGTATACTGATGGTTTTAACTTTGTATAAGATAGATACATGTAACATGTAGTATACTGACGGTTTTAACTTTGTATAAGATAGATACATGTAGTATACTGACGGTTTTAACTTTGTATAAGATAGATACATGTCACATGTAGTATACTGACGGTTTTAACTCTGTATAAGATAGATACATGTAGTATACTGACGGTTTTAACTCTGTATATGATAGATACATGTAGTATACTGACGGTTTTAACTCTGTATAAGATAGATACATGTAGTATACTGACGGTTTTAACTCTGTAAAAGATAGATACATGATACATGTAGTATACTGACGGTTTTAACTTTGTATAAGATAGATACATGTAGTAGTATACTGACGGTTTTAACTCTGTATATGATAGATACATGTAGTATACTGACGGTTTTAACTCTGTATAAGATAGATACATGTAGTATACTGACGGTTTTAACTCTGTAAAAGATAGATACATGATACATGTAGTATACTGACGGTTTTAACTTTGTATAAGATAGATACATGTAACATGTAGTATACTGACGGTTTTAACTCTGTATAAGATAGATACATGTAGTATACTGACGGTTTTAACTCTGTATAAGATAGATACATGTCACATGTAGTATACTTACGGTTTTAACTCTGTATAAGATAGATACATGTAGTATACTGACGGTTTTAACTCTGTATCAGATAGATACATGTAGTATACTGACGGTTTTAACTTTGTATAAGATAGATACATGTACTATACTGACGGTTTTAACTCTGTATAAGATAGATACATGTAGTATACTGACGGTTTTAACTCTGTATCAGATAGATACATGTAGTATACTGACGGTTTTAACTTTGTATAAGATAGATACATGTACTATACTGACGGTTTTAACTCTGTATAAGATAGATACATGTAGTATACTGACGGTTTTAACTCTGTATAAGATAGATACATGTAGTATACTGACGGTTTTAACTCTGTATAAGATAGATACATGTAACATGTAGTATACTGACGGTTTTAACTTTGTATAAGATAGATACATGTAGTATACTGATGGTTTTAACTGTGTATAAGATAGATACATGTAGTATACTGACGGTTTTAACTTTGTATAAGATAGATACATGTAGTATACTGACGGTTTTAACTTTGTATAAGATAGATACATGTCACATGTAGTATACTGACGGTTTTAACTTTGTAAAAGATAGATACATGTAGTATACTGACGGTTTTAACTCTGTATAAGATAGATACATGTAGTATACTGACGGTTTTAACTCTGTATAAGATAGATACATGTAACATGTAGTATACTGACGGTTTTAACTTTGTATAAGATAGATACATATAGTATACTGACGGTTTTAACTTTGTATAAGATAGATACATGTAGTATACTGACGGTTTTAACTCTGTATAAGATAGATACATGTAGTATACTGACGGTTTTAACTTTGTATAAGATAGATACATGTCACATGTAGTATACTGACGGTTTTAACTTTGTAAAAGATATATACATGTAGTATACTGACGGTTTTAACTCTGTATAAGATAGATACATGTAGTATACTGACGGTTTTAACTCTGTATAAGATAGATACATGTAGTATACTGACGGTTTTAACTTTGTATAAGATAGATACATGTAGTATACTGACGGTTTTAACTTTGTATAAGATAGATACATGTAGTATACTGACGGTTTTAACTCTGTAAAAGATAGATACATGTAGTATACTGACGGTTTTAACTTTGTATAAGATAGATACATGTAGTGTACTGACGGTTTTAACTTTGTATAAGATAGATACATGTAGTATACTGACGGTTTTAACTCTGCATAAGATAGATACATGTAGTATACTGACGGTTTTAACTTTGTATAAGATAGATACATGTAGTATACTGACGGTTTTAACTTTGTATAAGATAGATACATGTAGTATACTGACGGTTTTAACTCTGTATAAGATAGATACATGACGGACGGTTTTAACTTTTTTAGATACATGTAGTATACTGACGGTTTTAACTCTGTATATGATAGATACATGTAACATGTAGTGTACTTACGGTTTTTATTTCGGTATATTGTGACAATCCGTATTCCCCTCTGTAACATTAAAGGTCAAGTATTAGTGCCGGGTCCTAAACAAGATTCTTACAAACAAAATGTTTAGTAAGTAAATACCAATAAAATTCATTATATTTCATACCCACATAATAGCTGTTTAACACGGAATCAGTCAGCTGTGGAGGATTGACCAGGGATTCTACTTTTATAGAAAATGTTGTTTGTGAAACACGTGTAGATGAACTAGATATAAGTTACCGATGTCAAGGTCTTGGAGTTCTTCGCTTCTTTTAAAAGTTACAAAATAAAAACAAGAATTTTAGCGAGTGTTTCTGTAACTTTTGAAAATTACTGTTAATACCGAGTGAGCATGTCATATATAACCACGAGATTGAGTGACCTGTTTCTACCACAATAAAGATTTTATTCCAAAGATCAATTGACCTGTTCTGTAACCACGCAAGTTTTGATTATGTCATCAGTTCGTGCGTGGTGGCAGGACTTTTAGCGAAATGCAAGTAATTATTATACGAAAATGACAGAAATATATGGACATATTGTGACTCATTACAAATGAAAACTAGAAGTAAAAAAGTTTGTTCTCCTCAAAGAAAGGAAAGAAAATCAATTAATTTCAAATTATTTCCAAAACCATATCATGATCTACTGATTGCGCATTCTAATTTCCATACGTTCGTAAAGCGCTCTTTCGGCCAAAGGTCATCCTGTCAGCCAATTAAAACAGGCTAGATTTTAACTCTACATGTGGTATAACCTGTATGTTAATATACATTACAGTTTGAGTGCTCAATTGATGTCCTGTGAGTTGAAAAATACTCACTTTGCTTTGGTAGAAAATGTGTTACAATGTTAAAAGCAAATACATGTACATTTCTTTTGTTTATGAAAATGTAAAGAAGGCACTTACAGTTCTCGGCCGACACCAGACATCTTGAATCCCCCAAATGGGCTTTGAGCATTGACGATGTGGTAAGCGTTCACCCTGATAATTCGAAAGAAAATAAACATTAATACTACTGAAAAAATCTATACACAAAAATATATAACAAACGCCAAGTTGCATATCACGGAACGAACGTCAAATGGCATATTACCGAGCAAGTGTCAACTCACATGTCACAGAGCGAACGTCGCGTGACATAATGCAAATAAAAAGTCACTTGCCATGATACCAACTGCCATCTTAGACAATATTGCACAAATGTCACGCCACATAATTAATGTTACAATAGTAATAAAGTTACTCACACAACAACGTTGTCACATAAAATAAAAAAACATCACCGCACATAATACAATATCATCACTACAGTTAAAGTTTATAGTTAACATTGGTACAAATCATTTGAACTGAGGTATAAGCTCTGTATAGATTAACCATTAGGGGCATACATATATACATATTTATCAGTAACAGTAAGTACTAAGGGATACAGACATATTTATCAGTACGTTGTAAATGATGGTTACCAAGTAAATTGCAGAATAAAACACACAACAAATCCAGTTGTAAGTTACTACAATTTCTCTATCACAAATTTAAAACAGGTGAAGAGATTTATCATATCATCTGTTTTCCGTTATTGTTTGTATTTAGCATTTTATAATATTTCATTTGTTACAAATCTATCACGGTCCGTTTTCATATTCTATTCATATTTTATCCTAATGACAACCGGTTTTGAAACGAAACCGCAACCGCTTTTAATGTTTTGATAAAGACGCTTGTAGCATATATAAGTTTGAAAATCTGGAATATAAGACATATTCATCCATCTGAGTATATGTCCCAGTAACAGGCAAGGTATCAACACAAGAAGCTAGAACATTTAGAAACAGCCACTTACCATACTGTTCCAGCCTTGACCTTATTAGAAAAGGTCACTGCCTTCCCAATGTCATTGGTAAAAATAGCAGCAGCCAGTCCATATGGTGTATTATTTGCCCTTTCAATAACCTCTTCCATCGTCTTAAATTTGATAATTTGCTGAACTGGTCCAAAAATCTGTTGGTATAAAGGTTGTATTGACAATATCTATATATAAAAAAGGTAGTTTAAAGACAAAACGGAAACATACTTTATGATTAAGTGCCTCTTACCTCCTCCTTCCCGATGGTCATGTCCTCTGTGACGTTGGTAAACACAGTCGGCTGGATGAAATACCCTTTGCCCTCCACGGGTTTCCCACCACACTCTAGTTTGGCACCATCTTTCACTCCCGACTCTATCATCGATAGAATCTTCTTATACTGTTCCTCGTCAATCTTAAATGCAAATAATAGCAATGGTATTAATTAGAAGGAAACCTAATTCGAGAGATATCTTTAATTTCAAGAAGAGCATATGAGACCTGCATAAATATTTTCATATCAGTTTTATTTGAAAACTTTTTTAACAAACTAAAATGTTTCCATCAGTATTACTTGTGGTCCGGCTTCGTTCTTGACATCAAACGGGTCTCCGACGTTCTTATTCTTGGCCCTGTTGACAAGTTTAGCTGTGAATTCCTCGTATATATCCTCCTGGACGTACGTCCTTGACCCTGCCGTACAGCACTGACCCATGTTGTAGAACAGTGCCTGATGGGACATCTCGGCCGCAAAGTCCACTGGGGGATAAACATCACTTATAGGTTCGGAATATCATTGAATATTGTATCATTGATAGATGTGTAGGATGGTTACCGAGGTTAAACAAAAGGTCATACTAATTTATCATTGCCGAATACCATCATTAGAAATACGAAGGGGGAATACATACATGTACTTGTTTATATACACGAAGGCAGACAAAAAGGTATATTATTATTTGTATAAGAAATTGTACGTAATTACTTCTGTATGAAAATACTTACGATCAGCATCAGCGAAGACGACGTTCGGACTTTTCCCGCCCAATTCCAAAGTGACGCGCTTAAGGTTAGATTTGGCGGCAGCTTCCATTATCAGTTTTCCGACCTGTAAACACACACATAGTTATGCTTCAATTGTTTTCTGGTCACTAGTATGATGCCATTGAGAAATATTTCATTTCCGTCTTTCAATATAACATTAGATGTGTTCGATGTCTGAAGGTTATGTCGCATTAATATTGTTCTCATTTGATATCTTGCCATCGCTTAATTGGATTAACCAAAGTTTATAACTCGGGTGTCGTCGATTGAGAAAAGACGCTAACCCTTCCGGAACACCTGGTCTTATTCTCATGTTTCCAATGACAATTTGAAAGCATATACCTCTGTGGATCCTGTGAAAGCGACTTTGTTGATGTCGGGGTGACTAGAGATGGCAGCACCAGCCGTTGGACCATATCCGGGCACTATGTTCACAACTCCTGGGGGAAAACCAGCCTAGATAAAATTTAACATCACTGATGACGATCTTAACATCACATATTAGAGCTTGATATTTCTGTTGTATTTTTATAACATTTCGTTCGTCGTAGAATGAAAGTTACACAAAATTCGCGGTAAATAACAAGTGTGCTCACCACTATCTCTCCGTAATTCATAAAAACAAAAATGTCAATATTTGCATGAAAAATATCGAATTTTAGTGTTTCTCCAAAAAAATCAAAAGCTTTTATTATAATGTTATTTTGTTATACAGTTCGTTATTTGATCGAAAACTACAATATACACACACACCACCAGCACAAACACACACCACCACCATATACCAGCACAAACACACACCACCAACACACACACCACCACCACCACACACACACACCACCAGCACAAACACACACCGCCACCACACACCAACACAAACACACACCACCAACACACCCACCACCACCACACACACACACAACCACACACACCACCACCACCACCACACACACACAACCAGACACCACCACCACCACCCGACACACACACCACCAACACAAACCACCACCACCACACTCCACCACACACACCACCACACACACACAACCACACACATACAACCACACACCACCACCACCACCCGACACACACACACACCACCAACACAAACCACCACCACCACACTCCACCACACACACCACCACACACACACCACCACACACACACAACTACACACCACCACCAGCCCCTCACCACCACCACACCACCACCACCACCACTGCAACACACACACTACCACCACACACACACACACACACACACACACAACCACCACCACACACATGCACTCTCTCCCTCACACGTACACGCACACACGCTAAAATGAATAAGAATAGTTGTACCTTTTTTGGTTCTGTGATGTTTTTAAGGTTAAATACTGTACGTCCATCGTAATGAGTTCATGCTTGAATCGTTACTGATGTTTCTCATTTATACCGGAAATCGAATAGTTTTACTTCTTTCCTCACCTCTTTGATAAGAGACCCCATATACATGGCTGTTAGTGGCGTTTGTTCAGCAGGCTTCAAGACGATACAATTACCACAGGCTAAAGCGGGGGCTAACTTCCAGGACATCATTGCTAGTGGGAAGTTCCACTGGTAACACAAGCGTTAAGACAAATCTGACATGATTCACTTATTATCATCATTATTTACCTAAATTCTACCCGTGAAGAGTACAATTATCTTTAATCGTGAGTAGAATAACTCTAATACCCCAATGTCTCTCATGACTGTTATTTTCCATCTTCTCAAAGCAGTTGAATCGGCGCTAATTCTTGCCTATTTGATTAAAAATACTAACAGACTTAAGAAAGAACACCTTGATTTTAAAACAGATTAACAACCAAATATCATAATTATGATTCCTTCGTAGAATAGAGTTTGTGGTAACGTACCGGAATAATCTGACCACAAATCCCCACTGGCTCGTGTCTAGTGTAGCAGAGGAAGGGGCCATCTGTATTGGAAACGAAACAACGTCAAAATCTGTACATAATAATACGTGATTCACATTAGTATTTGAAATCAAATGAAAATCTAAGGAATGTTATCAGGACATGAATAGATCATCCGATGTACGGTAATGAATGTTGTATCACCATGTTTGATATGTATAGATAGCAGAATCTGTATGAAAATACACCGTGGTGTGAATTTTTGTATAGGAGAACGTGTGGGCGTACTGGTGGCTTTAAATATGTAAGTATTGTTAGAGAAAGGAATGCTGGAAATATACATTAGCAAAGTAATGAGATAGGAATTATGATAAGATTTTAAAAGTATGCGTTGTTTTATCATAGAAGAAACAAAGGAAGTGTGAACATTTCAATAACTTTTATTTTAGTGTGGTTTAGTTTTTAACAGTTATTGGACACATGAATTCGCTGGAGAGCATCCAGGAAACGAACGAAAATAATAAAAAAAAAAACACGAAAATTTATGATTTCATGGTAATCCTCATTTACAAGTAAAACGATACATGAAAAGGATCAAGTGCGCTTAAGAAATGGTCAGTTTCTCAAAAAAAAAAGAACCAGTTGAGTTACATTATATTATACAACCTGTTTTTAGGAAGGCGAGGATTACATACACACGTACCCACTGGAATGGTTTTGCCACATATCTTGTCCGTCCAACCGGCGTAATAACGGAAGGTGCCGAGGATCATGGCCATGTCATTTAAATACATATCTCGGAAAGGTTTGCCATTGTCCATCACCTCCAGACTCTGTTATGATAAACATGTTCATCTGTAGTGTCTTGTTTTCAATATAGAAGTCACAGTTTAGAGATACCTAACTGATCTCATCAGTAAAGTTATCTGTTGTATTTACATCAGTAAAGTTATCTATTGTATTTACATCAGTAAAGTTATCTATTGTATTTACATCAGTAAAGTTATCTGTTGTATTTACATCAGTAAAGTTATCTATTGTATTTACATCAGTAAAGTTATCTGTTGTATTTACATCAGTAAAGTTAACCATTGTATTTACATCAGTAAAGTTATCTATTGTATTTACATCAGTAAAGTTATCTGTTGTATTTACATCAGTAAAGTTATCCGTTGTATTTACATCAGTAAAGTTATCCGTTGTATTTACATCAGTAAAGTTATCTGTTGTATTTACATCAGTAAAGTTATCCAATGTATTTACATCAGTAAAGTTATCCAATGTATTTACATCAGTAAAGTTATCTGTTGTATTTACATCAGTAAAGTTATCTGTTGTATTTACATCAGTAAAGTTATCAGTTGTATTTACATCAGTAAAGTTATCCGTTGTATTTACATCAGTAAAGTTATCCGTTGTATTTACATCAGTAAAGTTATCTGTTGTATTTACATCAGTAAAGTTATCTGTTGTATTTACATCAGTAATGTTATCTCAGTAAAGTTATCCAATGTATTTACATCAGTAAAGTTATCCAATGTATTTACATCAGTAAAGTTATCTGTTGTATTTACATCAGTAAAGTTATCTGTTGTATTTACATCAGTAAAGTTATCTGTTGTATTTACATCAGTAAAGTTATCCGTTGTATTTACATCAGTAAAGTTATCCGTTGTATTTACATCAGTAAAGTTATCCGTTGTATTTACATCAGTAAAGTTATCAGTTGTATTTACATCAGTAAAGTTATCTGTTGTATTTACATCAGTAAAGTTAACCATTGTATTTACATCAGTAAAGTTATCTGTTGTATTTACATCAGTAAAGTTATCTGATGTATTTACATCAGTAAAGTTAACCATTTTATTTACATCAGTAAAGTTATCTGTTGTATTTACATCAGTAAAGTTATCTGTTGTATTTACATCAGTAAAGTTATCTGTTGTATTTACATCAGTAAAGTTATCCGTTGTATTGATATCAGTAAAGTTATCTGTTGTATTTACATCAGTAAAGTTATCTGTTGTATTTATATCAGTAAAGTTATCTGTTGTATTTACATCAGTAAAGTTATCCGTTGTATTTATCAGTAAAGTTATCCGTTGTATTTACATCAGTAAAGTTATCCGTTGTATTTACATCAGTAAAGTTATCCGTTGTATTTACATCAGTAAAGTTATCAGTTGTATTTACATCAGTAAAGTTATCCGTTGTATTTACATCAGTAAAGTTATCCGTTGTATTTACATCAGTAAAGTTATCAGTTGTATTTACATCAGTAAAGTTATCCGTTGTATTTACATCAGTAAAGTTATCTGTTGTATTTACATCAGTAAAGTTATCCGTTGTATTTACTTCAGTAACGTTACCCCTTTTATGATGAACTAAGTCTATCCTGTATACAGGAAAACGTTCGTCCAGGGTTATTTCCCCCTTCCATAAAAACATTTGCCTTCGTCAAGTGTTTAACGCACGTGAAAAACATATTAAGATACAGTTCAGTATTAGCTTTAAAGTTTAGCCACCGAATTAATTTTGCTTTGTCAACAAAGGGCGAAATGAGCAAATCTTTAACTATGGCGAAAGTTTCCGTCAGGTTTCCCTCTATAAAGTACATGTTTTGGTGACATTTATTTGATTCATAAACACTAGATATGATGACGGACATGTAGTTTACATGAGACCCACCGATATGTACAATCTATCCCGCTCAATCAGGTCCGCCAATTTGTTGAGCAGCTTCCCTCTGGTGCTGGCGTTCATCTGTCTCCATGGCGAGTCGTCCTTGAAGGCAGCTTTAGCGGCTTCTACGGCCTTTTCTATATCAACCTGAGGACGAATCGTAAGATGCTTAGTCTTTACATATCTCAACAAAACGTTAAACACTGTTGTGATGAAGACGGCTATAAGGGGACTTCATGATTGGCACGAAGTCACTTATTCATGTGGAAATATATTTCTTATACTTCACATAATGGATGACTAAAGAAGAACGAAGTTGTCTCCCTTCCATGGTTATATTCAAATGTATTAGGGCAATATAATTTTTCCTTAGTTTGAACAATTCGTTAAAACGCGTTAACGGTTGTAACGGTGTGATTTTCCCTCTGTATTCGTGATAAAGCTGTATCAAGGTGTTCCAATGATGAAGTTTGGTAGATAGTATATAAGACGGTTTTTGACAGATGTAAGGTGTTGCTGATCACTAAGTAGTCTTGATATATGGTTGGATAGTAACCACTCTAAGTTAATTAAGTACTGAACTGTCGTGATCTTAACTAAAGTATATCCATTAACAACGGTATAATCCGTACAGCGGAACACCTATTTTGACGGTGAATTATCGCCGTTTCCATGTCCATACACTGAATGTAATTTACTGTATCATAAATCACCCTGAGGTTGTGGCAATGCCATACAAATGGAAATATTACAGGGAAAAGTTGTAAAATATAAACCAAACTTGCATAGTACATTTACTTTGTATGTAGGTGTCTGTGGGTATATTTTTATCGTGAAAGTTAGAAGTATTTGTCGTGCTACGGTGATCTGTATTTTTTCTACATCCACGTTTTTTTTAATTAGCTTTGTGTTTATGCTACATTAAGGCTTTACCTTGTCTCCCTCTTGAACGTCAATGATCTTTTCGCCTGTGGTCGGGTTGATGGTCGCAAACGTCTTGCCGCTCACACTATTCACATATTCGTTATTAATGAATAGCTGTAACAAATAAAGTGACTTCAGATTTCTGTCCATCAAAATGTAAAAATAAAACATATCAGTTAAAGCATAATTTATCTCCTATGAGAACCATTACAGTTTTGAATTAGATAAATATTTCCATTTAGTCCAGTACAAGCCTTATATCGAATCATCCATAACATTTGATACAAATGTACATTTCTTGAAAAAATGGAATGACAAATGTCAATTTGCCTCATTCCACAAGTTCTTGTGGATATAACCGCAGATTCTCTATTTCCTTATACGACTTGAGAAATTCGGCTTGAACTTGAACATTTGTTTGCCTTAAGAAGAGTTGCTATAGAAATAAATCGATAGATGCAGACCTCAGGGAAGTGTATAGGGGACATGGTACACAAATTGTATGCTATACTTACCTGTTATATCCTTCTTTGTGGACGTAATCATTGTCATCTTGTGATAAATATATCCATATGTTACAGTCTATCTTATGACATCTTACTTACAGTCTATCTTAACATCTGACTATTAAGTGATACAATTTGGACACATCTATCTTACTTACAGTCTATCTTAACATCTGACTATTAAGTGATACAATTCGGACACATCTATCTTACTTACAGTCTATCTTAACATCTGACTATTAAGTGATACAATTTGGACACATCTATCTTACTTACAGTTTATCTTAACATCTGACTATTAAGTGATACAATTTGTACACATCTATCTTACTTACAGTCTATCTTAACATCTGACTATTAAGTGATACAATTTGGACACATCTATCTTACTTACAGTCTATCTTAACATCTGACTATTAAGTGATACAATTTGGACACATCTATCTTACTTACAGTCTATCTTAACATCTGACTATTAAGTGATACAATTTGTACACATCTATCTTACTTACAGTCTATCTTAACATCTGACTATTAAGTGATACAATTTGGACACATCTATCTTACTTACAGTCTATCTTAACATCTGACTATTAAGTGATACAATTTGGACACATCTATCTTACTTACAGTCTATCTTAACATGACTATTAAGTGATACAATTTGGACACATCTATCTTACTTACAGTCTATCTTATGACATATGACTATTAAGTGATACAATCTGGACACATCTATCTTACTTAAAAAAAATACGTCGAAATACAAAATACCAATAACAGTCGTTTTCACTTCATTTCTGATTCTGTACAGTTTGTATCAATGTATGTTTTATCTCCAGGTTATGTCCGCAAAGAAAGATACCATCAGTATTAAACAGTCTGTCTTTTTTAACTCGAGCTGTAAGTAACGTCAGTATCAAGTCATGAAATGGTACCCCTTTTTATCTCAGCTGTAAATAACGTCAGTATCAGTTTATCCATGACTATTAAGTGATACAATTTGTACACATCTTTTACTTACAGTCTATCTTAACATCTAAAAAACAATTTGTACACATATCTTACTTACAGTCATGGACTATTAAGTGATACAATCTTTTTACTTACTCGAGCTGTAAATAACAATTTGGACAGTATTAAGCTATTTTAACATGACTATTATGATACCATTTGGACACATTTTCTTACTTACAGTTTATCTAAATAACTATTAAGTGAGTACACATCATCTTACTTACAGTCTTTCTTAACATCTGACTATTAAGTGATACAATGTACAATAACGTCAGTATTAACATGACTATTAAGTGATACAATGGTACGTCTTTTTTATCTCAGCTGTAAATAACGTCAGTATCAAGCCATGAAATGGTACCCCTTTTTAACTCGAGCTGTAAAAAACGTCAGTATCAAGTCATGGAATGGTACGTCTTTTTAACTCGAGCTGTAAATAACGTCAGTATCAAGTCATGGAATGGTACGTCTTTTTAACTCGAGCTGTAAATAACGTCAGTATTAAGCCATGAAATGGTACGTCTTTTTTATCTCGAGCTGTAAATAACGTCAGTATCAAGTCACGAAATGGTACGTCTTTTTAACTCGAGCTGTAAATAACGTGGGTAGTCGGGTGGTCGGGTGGCCGGGTGGCGCAGTGGTAACACACTCGCCTTTCACCTAGCTTCATAACTTATTTATAATACTTAATGTTTCTATTTTTAGTCTCTCATAACTTTCTTATAACTGACAAAGTTGGTAAAAAGTTTATCTCCTGACACATATACATGCATATAGTTGCTGCTGAATGTGATGTATTGAAAAACTGTTCTAAATAGATCGATCGTTATTGATGTATACCCTGTCCTAAATAGCATATACAGTTATATGTATCAAATCCATAATACTATAATATGTATGACATAATATAGATATGATATTTTAGATATAGAGGTAGAGTATCTGCCTCCATATATTATGTATCCTATTACCTGGTACATGTAGAAAGGACGATACGAGGGAGATAATCAGAGTCACAATCTGGTATGGGTATAGTCTGTGATATGAAAGAATGCCTTATATCAAAATCTTATTCCTTTTTAATAATTACTAGTACATGTATCAATATGATGTAAAGATACCAAGACATTGCATTGTTTCTTTCAGATTAAGGAAGGCAAGTATTTCATTGGACATACAAACTAGTGCTTGTGTTTATAAATCCTGGATGGCATTTCAAAACATTCAAGAATAATTTATTTGACGGATTCACCAAAGGTACTGCTTTTTCCTCCTTTGAGAACTACTTAATTTGGCCACCTTGAAAGCGGAGATGTCTCGTGACTGTGACACGTGTATGTAACTAAGTATGGAGCTCAACCTCGGCTGGTTACAATGTGATTGGATTAACCTTCAAACGACATTCAACAGCCATATTGTTTAGTTTATTAACCTTTTAGTTTGCCACTTAAGTGAGCATTGATTACAGCAAACTGCAGTTTGGATTGAGATGAAAAAATTGTACTTGAATTTGAAAATAAAATTTCAACATTTTTGTATCTGCACTAAATGCTGTGTTACATGCCTGAGTCATGTACATATGCTCGTTTTGAGCTTTCTCTTACTGGTAATGGTTAAATGGCATAGTAACATTCCAATATAATTGGAATCTACATTAAAACTTGTTATGGAGCTCATCCTCAGCTGGTTACAATGTGTCTTTGACACGTGTATCTAAGTATGGAGCTCATCCTCAGCTGGTTACAATGTGACTTTGACACGTGTATCTAAGTATGGAGCTCAACCTCGGCTGGTTACACTGTGACTGTGACACGTGTATCTAAGTATGGAGCTCATCCTCAGCTGGTTACATTGTGACTGTGACACGTGTATCTAAGTATGGAGCTCATCCTCAGCTGGTTACAATGTGACTTTGACACGTGTATCTAAGTATGGAGCTCATCCTCGGCTGGTTACACTGTGATTGTGACACGTGTATCTAAGTATGGAGCTCAACCTCGGCTGGTTACAATGTGATTGGATTAACCTTCAAACGACATTCAACAGCCATATTGTTTAGTTTATTAACCTTTTAGTTTGCCATTTAAGAGCATTGATTACAGCAAACTGCAGTTTGGATTGAGATGAAAAAATTGTACTTGAATTTGAAAATAAAATTTTAACATTTTTGTATCTGCACTAAATGCTATGTTACATGCCTGAGTCATGTACATATGTTCGTTTTGAGTTTTCTTTTACTGGTAATGGTTAAATGGCATAGTAACATTCCAATATAATTGGAATCTTCATTAAATCTTGTTACACTGAAATTAGGCCATATATAAGTACCTCTTAAATATACACGTATGTAAATTATTCCAGTGAAATATTCTTTTCAAAAATTTTAATATGAGTCATGTTCGTTATATACAACAAAACGTTCTTCTTTCTTTTAAATGGCTTCATCTCTAGTGCAAATAATAATTTAAAAACATTATGTCCATTCTGATCAGAGAATTGCCTAGATATAGGTCACTGCATACATTTGAAAGGTTAGTTTTGTTTTTAAATTGTGTTATTACTTTAAAAGGAGACAAGATCATGTTTTAACTCATAAACACACACGTAGATATCCAACAAGTTATCTTATTGGGATATTAGGAAATTGCAGTAGAAGAAATGATACTTTCTTCATAACGTACATTAGAATCTACTGTGTATTAGACTGAAAATTTTTCGGTCATTGTCAAAACGAATAAAACATGTTATTTCAGAATTTGTTATCATTTACAGACAACAAATGATTTCGTAACTTAGCAAAAGCAGCTTTCATATAACGAAGAGAATATCCGGATTTTCTTTCGGGCACCTTGATTTTTAGTGGCGCCTACGTAGAGCAGTGTAAACAGATGGCGGAGACGACAACAGTGGAGGCTTGTCGATACCAATTCGAACCACTGAAAATATACTTAGATATTTTCTACACGAAAGTGATTGTTTGGATTTTTGAGTTTATCAAGAAATAACGGATTCTTTGATTATGTTTTAAAATACCCAGAAGGACTCGAAAATACCCGTCGCAGGACTGTATAATTTGGATGGGGACATTTTATGACACGTTTTGCCCATTTCGAAAGAGTTTGCAGAGAAACTTAGATGCTTTTTGCGATAAATCTGTCCTCAATAAACACTTAGATGTTTTTATTTTTACATAATCAGTGTGAATTCCTGAATATTTTATTCACAAGGGTTGACGGACACTTTTCCCGTAAAAGGTATCATTTTGGGTAGCGTCACGTCATTCAGTAAATCATATAACATTATCTAAGGAGGTGTGTCGATCTTGTATTCCGTCAAATTAAAAAATGAAATATCTATTGTATATCTCACACATTGTGAGACGATATCTGAAGGAAGTATCAAATATATTTCAAATCCTATTTAAGATTTATTATTGTCTAATGTATATATAATATACATGTAGGTCAGAATCTGATTCCAGTGCAGGGAAACTTCGTGTTTACATTTTGTTAAAATATCGTTTTATTTAAGATATCTTATAGTTATTAATCTTCATTGTAAATCTGATGTTATGTACTTTATACAACATGTTTCATTTTCTATTAAAGAGAAGTTATACGTTATATATCGTACATAGACCATCATTTCTCCGTGGATACATGTGAAGTTGACTTCACCATGAAAAGTCTATCTTTATTGATAGGTCACTAGTGACGGTCTGAATAACTTGTATCTTATCTGGAATAGGACTAGATATAATGTAACAATCAGCTCGGTTATGTAAAATAGTCAAGGACACTCTCGTGTTCTATAAAGTGTGAGATTCTAGAACATGTACTTAGAACTTGTTTGTTGGCCTGGGATTACCGTACGAACTGGTTTATATTGTAGACCATTAAATAAAATTGCTATTATTTATTTATTTAATTTAATAAATAATATTTATTTATCTATCTCCTGTAACAATAGTTTTCATTACCAGACGTACAATGGAATCTCACCGTGAAGAACATATTGTTGCTGTGTTTTGTTTGACACTGGGACATTGTTGCTGTGCTTTGTTTGACACTGAGACGTTGTTGTGTTTTGTTTGACACTGAGACATTGTTGCTGTGATTTGTTTGACACTAAGACATTGTTGCTGTGTTTTGTTTTACATCGGGACATTGTTGCTGTGTTTTGTTTGACACTGAGACATTGTTGCTGTGTTTTGTTTGACACTGAGACATTGTTGTTGTGTTTTGTTTGACACTAAGACATTGTTGCTGTGATTTGTTTGACACTAAGACATTGTTGCTGTGTTTTGTTTTACATCGGGACATTGTTGCTGTGTTTTGTTTGACACTGAGACATTGTTGTGTTTTGTTTGGCACTGAGACGTTGTTGTGTTTTGTTTGACTCTGAGACATTGTTGCTGTGTTTTGTTTGACACTGAGACATTGTTGCTGTGTTTTGTTTGACACGGAGACATTGTTGCTGTTTTGTTTGACACTGAGACATTGTTGCTGTGTTTTGTTTGACATTGAGACATTGGTGCTGTGTTGTGTTTGACACTGATATATTGTTGCTGTTTTGTTTGACAAAGAGACATTGCTGCTGTTTTGTTTGACACGGAGATGTTGTTTCTGTGTTTCGTTTGACACTGAGACATTGTTGTTGTGTTTTGTTTGACACTGAGACATTGTTGTTGTTTTGTTTGACACTGAGACAATGTTGCTGTGTTTCGTTTGACACTGAGACATTGTTGTTTGTTTTGTTTGACACTGAGACATTGTTGCTGTGTTTTGTTTGACACTGAGACATTGTTGTGTTTTGTTTGACACTGAGACATTGTTGCTGTGTTTTGTTTGACACTGAGACATTGTTGCTGTTTGTTTGACACTGAGACATTGTTGTTTGTTTTGTTTGACACTAGGACATTGTTGTTGTTTGTTTGACACTGAGACATCGTTGTTTGTTTTGTTTGACACTGAGACATTGTTGCTGTGTTTTGTTTGACACTGAGACATTGTTGTTGTGTTTTGTTTGACACTGAGACATTGTTGTTGTGTTTTGTTTGACACTGAGACATTGGTGTTTGTTTTTTTTTGACACTAGGACATTGTTGTTGTGTTTTGTTTCACACTGAGACATTGTTGTTGTTTTGTTTGACACTGAGACATTGTTGTTGTGTTTTGTTTGACACTGAGACATTGTTGCTGTGTTTTGTTTGACACTGAGACATTGTTGCTGTGTTTTGTTTGACACTGAGACATTGTTGCTGTGTTTTGTTTGACACTGAGACATTGTTGCTGTGTTTTGTTTGACACTGAGACATTGTTGTTGTGTTTTGTTTGACACTGAGACATTGTTGTGTTTTATTTGACACTGAGACATTGTTGCTGTGTTTTGTTTGACACTGAGACATTGTTGCTGTGTTTTGTTTGACACTGAGACATTGTTGCTGTGTTTTGTTTGACACTGAGACATTGTTGCTGTGTTTTGTTTGACACTGAGACATTGTTGCTGTGTTTTGTTTGACACTGAGACATTGTTGTTGTGTTTTGTTTGACACTGAGACATTGTTGTGTTTTATTTGACACTGAGACATTGTTGCTGTGTTTTGTTTGACACTGAGACATTGCTGTGTTTTGTTTGACTCTGAGACATTGTTGCTGTTTGTTTGACACTGAGACATTGTTGCTGTTTGTTTGATACTGAGACATTGTTGTTGTGTTTTGTTTGACACTGAGACATTTTTGTGTTTTATTTGACACTGAGACATTGTTGCTGTGTTTTGTTTGACACTGAGACATTGTTGCTGTGTTTTGTTTGACACTGAGACATTGTTGCTGTTTGTTTGACACTGAGACATTGTTGTTTGTTTTGTTTGACACTGAGACATTGTTGCTGTGTTTTGTTTGACACTGAGACAATGTTGCTGTGTTTTGTTTGACACTGAGACATTGTTGTGTTTTGTTTGACACTGAGACATTGTTGCTGTGTTTTGTTTGACACTGAGACAATGTTGCTGTGTTTTGTTTGACACTGAGACATTGTTGCTGTGTTTTGTTTGACACTGAGACAATGTTGCTGTGTTTTGTTTGACACTGAGACATTGTTGCTGTGTTTTGTTTGACACTGAGACATTGTTGTTGTGTTTTGTTTGACGCTGATCCTAATGAGAAAAGTATAGTAAGTTTTGTTTAATGTTAAATGCTTGCATAAACGACACTAATGAGCAACGCACATCGATTGGTCTAGTGGCGCAGTGGTAACCCACCCGCATCACGTCCAGAGTTCGATTTTTCGAAGGGACGTAACTCGGTAAATGGTCATCTGCCGTTTCCCCCGGGTATCCCGGTTTCCTCCCACAGTAAGGTGCTCGGAGCGCTTCAATTCGGGCCAACGATAGTCATAAGCAAATATTGAATAAGATGTTTCGCTACTGTTTAAGGCAATGGTCAGTATGATGATAACTTATAGATGTTCAAATAGTCTACAACTAATATAGTAACTCGCCAAGATATCTGGAATAAAATTTAGAAAGAAAAATGAAAAAAATAAGACCAGGTGTTTTCTTACCTGTGTGTACTTAATGTCTGGGTTTCTTATTGGATCTGGTAGTGGAGCTGCCATCCTGTTCCCGTTGCTCACCTATTTGGTCACACTGACCAAAACTAGGTTATATACTTACGTGTACCTCTATCGTACTTTGATTACCTCCCAGTGACCATATAGATAAACACCTGACGTGGACTGCTTGCTTAAGCCTGTTTATCTCCATTTGTTCAAACATTTCTAACGCGAAATCTAACTGTAAATTCAGTTAAAATACTTAAATTAGCATGTCAGAGATTTTCAAAATACTACATTCATGAGAAATTGATATATTTTGACTGCCACAACATTTTATGGAAATTTACAACAGGTCTACATATGATTTTTTCCCAATAACGACTTATACAAATGGAGGTGAACAGTGATCCAGCCGTGATTTGAGCGATAACTAATAACGACAAAAATGATAGTTTAACCTAACTAGTGATAACATTAAAACAATTTCCTAACATAAAATGTCGTTTGAATGTGTTCAGCCTTTTCTCATACTCGCACGTTATTTATCAATATTTCATTCTAGGGAAAACTTTCCACTAAAACGCCCACTATTCTTTGAGGAGCCCAAGTGCTTGTGATGCTAAGAGTTATGGGCTATATTATGGTAAATTTACAAATTTTTTGTTATCCAGTAAGAAAGTATACAGATCCTGTAACGACTTCAATCGACAATGGACTAGGAATCGAAAACGCTCTGTTGAAATTCGTGATATCACATACTTTGAACTATAAATAGGATAAAAGTTTTATTCCTTGTCATTCACCTAAATACAGTCAGTAGACCACGTGAACGTGTTTTACACCACAAGATCTACATGTAGATAATGATTTACACTCGACTAAACATTGTAAACTGTGATATATAGACTTCACTGTTCACATCTTCATATCGGATCACTTTATGTATTTATCAGTCAAGCTCACACTAATGAATCCTTCAGATTTGACTTTATCACATCATAACTCAGTCGATTCCAATGTAAATTATATGTATATTAAAAACATATCTTGTATGTAAAATCTGTAAATCATTGGGTCCTATATATTGACGAGATCACATTAAAAGTACACGAGTCAAATAATTATCGTACATGTGGATCCTGACTCGTGTGAGTGTGAAGTTCATAAGGACAGTGGGTGTATGTATAGATACTGACTCGTGTCACTGTAAAGTTCATAAGGACAGTAAACTCGTGTGACTGTAAAGGGTGTATGTATACTGATCCATAAGGACTGGGTGTATGTATAGATACTGTCGTGTGAGTGTGAAGTTCATAAGGACAGCACTAAGGGTGTATGTATAGATACTGTAAAAGTTCATAAGGACAGCTACTAAGTGTGAAGTGTATGTGTATGTATAGATACTGACTCGTGTGACTGTAAAGTTCATAAGGACAGTGGGTGTATGTATAGATACTGACTCGAGTGAGTGTGAAGTTCATAAGGACAGTACTAAGGGTGTCCGTATAGATACTGACTCGTGTGAGTGTGAAGTTCATAAGGACAGTACTAAGGATGTATGTATAGATACTGACTCGTGTGACTGTAAAGTTCATAAGGACAGTGGGTGTATGTATAGATACTGACTCGTGTGAGTGTGAAGTTCATAAGGACAGTGGGTGTATGTATAGATACTGACTCGTGTGACTGTAAAGTTCATAAGGACAGCACTAAGATGTATGTATAGATACTGACTCGTGTGAGTGTGAAGTTCATAAGGACAGTACTAAGGATGTATGTATATATCCTGACTCGTGTGACTGTAAAGTTCATAAGGACAGTACTAAGGGTGTATGTATAGATCATGACTCGTGTGACTGTAAAGTTCATAAGGACAGTACTAAGGGTGTATGTATAGATCCTAACTCGTGTGAGTGTGAAGTTCATAAGTACTAAGTGTATGTATACTGACTCGTGTCACTGTAAAGTTCATAAGGACAGTACTAAGGGTGTATGTATAGATACTGACTCGTGTGAGTGTGAAGTTCATAAGGACAGTACTAAGTGTGTATGTATAGATACTGACTCGTGTGACTGTAAAGTTCATAAGGACAGTACTAAGGGTGTATGTATAGATACTGACTCGTGTGAGTGTGAAGTTCATAAGGACAGTACTAAGGGTGTATGTATAGATCCTGACTCGTGTGAGTATGAAGTTCATAAGGACAGTACTAAGGGTGTATGTATAGATCCTAACTCGTGTGAGTGTGAAGTTCATAAGGACAGCACTAAGATGTATGTATAGATACTGACTCGTGTGACTGTAAAGTTCATAAGGACAGTACTAAGGGTGTATGTATAGATACTGACTCGTGTGACTGTAAAGTTCATAAGGACAGTACTAAGGGTGTATGTATAGATACTGACTCGTGTGAGTGTGAAGTTCATAAGGACAGTACTAAGGGTGTATGTATAGATACTGACTCGTGTGACTGTAAAGTTCATAAGGACAGTACTAAGGGTGTATGTATAGATACTGACTCGTGTGAGTGTGAAGTTCATAAGGACAGTACTAAGGGTGTATGTATAGATACTGACTCGTGTGAGTGTGAAGTTCATAAGGACAGTACTAAGGGTGTATGTATAGATACTGACTCGTGTGAGTGTGAAGTTCATAAGGACAGTGGGTGTATGTATAGATCCTGACTCGTGTGAGTGTGAAGTTCATAAGGACAGTGGGTGTATGTATAGATACTGACTCGTGTGAGTGTGAAGTTCATAAGGACAGTGGGTGTATGTATAGATACTGACTCGTGTGACTGTAAAGTTCATAAGGACAGTGGGTGTATGTATAGATACTGACTCGTGTGACTGTAAAGTTCATAAGGACAGTACTAAGTGTTTATGTATGGATCCTGACTCAGGTGTTTAATAAATAACAAATAGCTTGGCAGGTGAGTTTGAATGACCTTTATTAGATTGTGGCAAAAACAATAATATCACCATTACATTTGCAAATCAAGTAGGGCAACATCGCATGATAAAAATCACAGATCAAACATGGCAGAGAAGACAGGAAGAACGCTTAGCATTCTGGAATGTGATCACCATGATAAAGTACGGCAAATATCTGGCATCCCAAATTATCTGAGGATGAAACATAATCATCAACCCGCTATTGACAAGGAAACATCAAACCTCTAGGTATACCCACTATGGAAGAAAAGTTTTTTTTTTATATTGCACCGTATACAATTTTCCCTATATAGAACTTTTTCGGTGGTTTTTCCTAAAAAGCACTACACCCTATCATACTAGTATTTTCCTATATAAAACGTTTATGCTACATTGAAGATATTTCGTTTCTTCTAACTTAACAATTCATTTAAAATGTAATTTTGATATGGAATGAAATATTACAATGAGTGTGTGATTTTAAAGTTGTTTTTTAAGGAATATTCCACCTGTCCACTTAATGTGTATATTCTAATGGAATATCTTTGATCCTATAATTATTTAATTCAAAATGGACATTATCTTCATTCCCACATTCTACATATAAGAGAAATGGCTGCAGAAATTAATTTGAATTCAAAAGAAGAAACTATGCTTGTAATAAATATAACAGGATTTCCAGACTTATAATTAACACTAATGGAGGAAACTTTTTAAAAAGTAAGTATGAAAAAATAAGTTTGGGTCTATAATAGTGCCGTCATACATTCCTGATAATATCATATATACTTTCTTACTCTTCCCGGACCTACTTTCACAAGTCATGGTATTTATATGTAGTTAATTTGATTAATGATAAAATGCACGTCTCTGTATAAAGTACCTGTAAAGATTGAGACGTCCTGAATAAGATTACTATACATACATATAAAACATAAAGAAACCACGGGTATTAGCTTTCAGTGTATGTCACCACTGTGAATCTAACAAAATATTTATGATTATAATGTTTAAAATAAAGACAAGTCAGGTTAGTCCCACCATTTAAACTACAAGGAAATAAGATTCTAGAGAAACTAGGATCATTATAAAACATAATGCTATCGGTGAAGATTACAGTACAATTAATTGTGTTACTTTGAAATAATATATTCAACAAAAACTACAAAAAAAATAAATGTGAAGAAATCGGAACAACTAAAATTATAGGAAAATAAATAAGACAAGGAATGTATAATGAGGGGAAAAAACAAAAAACATATCAATAACACAACTAAGTTGTACTTCTACAGAAAGTATTGAAATATATCACCAAACTCAAGTTAAAACTGTATCTAACTTAGTGCATTTCAAGTTAACACTGTATATAACTGAGTATAATTCAAGTTAAAACTGTATCTAACTTAGTGCATTTCAAGTTAACACTGTATATAACTGAGTATAATTCAAGTTAAAACTGTATCTAACTTAGTACAATCAAAGTTAACACTGTATAACACTGTATCTAATGTTGTACAATTCAAGTTAACACTGTATAACACTGTATCTCACTTGGTACATTTCCAGTTAACATTTTCCCATAATTGGTATGTATATTCCAGTTGAATTAGCACATTCACTTATAAACATATTCCACAATATCATGTTTCTGTAGATGCTATCATGATCATAAACACCCTTGAAGTTTTAACAACATCTCTAACAGATCTAGACAGTCAATACTAATACATGTTATCAGGTGCCTCTAACAATCATCCTTTCATTTTGATTTCTGAACTAAATGATCACTTGGTAAAAATTACCAACCAAATACTTGTTTCAATACCTCTGATGTTGATAATACCATACGACAAAATATTAATGTAAAAAGAGTAAAAAACAAAACCATCACAATGGAAACAAAACCATCACAATGGAAACAAAACCATCACAATGGAAACAAAACCATCACAACCATCACAATGGAAACAAAACCATCACAATGGAAACAAAACCAAATACATAAATAAACGAGGTGAACTGGGACTTAGACACATTGGTGTAAGCAGAATACCACAACACAAGCGCCACAAATAAAACATCTACACCATTGAAAATAGTTGTTTTCTATCATGTTGGATTTTATTCCACCTGATCTGCTGGAATAAGTAAGAGCTTCAACCCAATACAGGGCAATCTTGTTTTATATAATTCTGATGTTTTGTTGCGGGTATACTACCAGTTGAATTACATGTACCTAGTTTTCATCCTAGCTATTACTTGTCATGCCAGTGTCACTGTATAATGCACACTGAGAATGTATTCTCTGTTCTTACCTATAACTTTTCAAAAACCAAAAAAGTGCTAATTATACTAACCACAGCTTTCAAACAAACTGTAAAGAAGATCTTATATAAGTCATTGTTTTTAGAAAATATCACCTGATTATTTCAAAGTTCTACTGTTATTTATTTAAAAACGTCCAAATTCTACCATAACCAGATCATCACACCAAAATCATGTAGCTTTGATCTTTTCTTCTCAACATGCAATTTTTAAACAAGATTCATTAATCAAGGATGTGTTTCATGATAAGGTTGCGTAGATCTGCCAACTATTCATTTATCAAATGAAAAAAAGTGGACCTATAACTAATAGTAAACAGGATTATGTAAAAACTATGGATTCAAAATGACACAAATAAACTTGTTTTAAACACTTCATACAGAAGATATGAAAAATGTACCATTCAAAATCAAAGCTGTAAACAGTATTAATGTAAGGACACTTTCAAATCAATCAAGGTTTTGTTAACAGTTGATTACTTGTGTCAAACATATCAACATAGCTATCCAGGAATCCAAAACATAGATGTACAATAGGGTAAAACATCAGCATTAAAATTGTGATAGGTTCAATCATTTAAGTACAAACTTTAAGAACTACTATGTGGAACCTATTTTAATTGTTGACACCTCCACAGATACAAAATCTGTGTAACTGTGACGGACAAATCAGCAATATCTGCTGATTAGACTTTAATGCAATTGTGTAGGATCAGTTTAAGGAAAAAGTTGATAAAGGCTTGTTGTCATTACAGTAAGGACCTTTGGGGAAAATGTTATCAATTTCACTTCCTGTAAGATAATTGTAAATATTGAATTCTATGTAAAAAAAAAAAAAGATCAACAATGCATTTGATCAACAAAGCACTTGATCATATAAATTACATCTATAACTACAAAGCATTTCAAGTTACCTGAATAAAAATTAATAATAATAATAATAATAAAAAAAACCCAAAAACCAACAAAACAGAAATTTCTTTTGCATCAATGGAGTTTGAACATTAAAGAAATGTATGACTTGATAGTAAATGAAGTGAAGTGTTTTGCTGTGTTTAACGGTTCAATATGAAACTTGTATCAAGTGAAAATGAAAACATCTAATTTATAAGACAGACAAGCATGTATTCTTGGATAAAAAAAGAAAAGTAATCATGTCTTCCAAGGAAAGATCTATGTCCTAAGTACAAATAATTAAAAATTTGAAAAATACAAAAGTATACCTACTATAAATTTCAATTGAGCACTCATCAGGAAACCTCTACATGTATCAGTAATACACTACGGGTGATCAAAACAATCCAAAGAAAAATATCTTTTGGAAGACTTAACTGATAAACCAGATTTTAAGTGCTTGTTCATGTACCGTAAAAGGAACAAAAACAAAATACATCTTACAAATAAAAATAATTCCTAGTTCCCTTTCCACATATAAAACTGTCTAGTTCTAGTGTTAATTGTTATATTATCAAAATCCACAGACCCTACCTTTTACAATTCCCATATATAATAGGAAAAATTACCAGATGTCAATTTATGTAAAATGTTTTTTTTGTTTTTGCTTAAAAGACTTCAAAGATTTTAGTAATAAATTTACATGACTGTCAAATCAATTAAAACACAATCATTTCATGCTTTTTAACACATAAAAAATATCAAGAAACATAAGGATCATATTTATAATCCTCTTTACAACTACATTACATATCTTGTTGTTTGAGATAGAAACTCCAGCTTTACTTTCTAAATTATCTCCCCTTTATAGATGAGCAATTTGTTGTCAGTTATCTCCCCTTCACCTATATATATATGAACTATAAACCTAAAAAGTTATCCCTCCAGTCCAAATGCTCTCATACAACAAATAAAAAAGCAGCATTTCCTTAGGATTTCTTTAACAAAATACAAATATTCATCAATTTAATTGGTAAAATGCATTACAAAATCACATCTTTTCAATTATATCTCATCAATCACACCTAAATCTCAAAGTCTGTCCCATACATTTAAATTAGCTTTGTAGAAATGTAAACATGTATTTCATTTATTAATTATGTATAACCAAGATCAAACCAAATCAGATCCATTAACTAATACTAAACATACTTCAAATCTGTTCAAGTAACAAGTATGATTTTGTGAATATGATACCCTATTGGTTAAGTTATCTGTGTCTCCAATATGACAAGATACAGATAAACAGAAAAACACAGAAACAATATCAAGCTTGCTGTGTTAATGAAATAGCAGACCTATTGCACATTTGTACAAGCAGTTTACATTGAGCAAGAAATATGAATACAGGTTGGCATACTGCGTAAACATGTTTAAAAATGTTGTCTGGGACTGTTAAACCTTACTTCTATCAGTATAGAGTTAGTAACATAAACCATATATCAAACATTGCACAACTTTGTAATGAAAACCCAGAACCTCGTCATGATTCCATAAATCATCTAACAATACCTGTTTATGTGATACTACAGATTATAAGTAATGTACATATGTACTGTGATTTGACATGAATACATGCATGTCACAAACTGTACCTCTGTTTACTACTGTTTAAACATCATCAGGTGGTATTTCAACACCGACTGTTATACTGTTATATCTATTGTTAACTTTATAGAAAACCAGTTAGTCTTAAAATATTGAAAGTTTAACAGAAGTACATTTGTAATGATTATACATCTAAATTTGTTTCTGAGAATACATTTATATAAATGCAGATTTGATTCTTATACACACCAAGTATGACTGGCCACACCTCCCATTCTTTATTAAAGTTATCTAGTTACTCAAGTACCACTTCCATCCATATACCTTCGAGGAGTTAATAATAGCCTCAACTCTAGTTTACCTCTAGTCATTTTTTGTTGCTATCCTTTGATTATACAAATATTATACTTCTCCTAAAACATAGACAAGATAATGACCTGTTCTGATAGTATATATAAAATAAACACTCTACAACATTCTAATTACATTTATACCTTATTGTACTGAATATACATCTATACTTAATACATATATATTTACTGATATACTCAACAACAAAACATCAATGTTTCTCAAAAAGTTTATGTCTATGGTTCATAGGAATAATTACCATTGAAATATGTCTCTACAAGTCTCCAAACATCATAGCTGTTTATAGGAATACAAAGACTAATTATAATAACTACCTAAATATATTCCTGTACAGTCGATGACTGTGCCTCATAAACTTCATAAATCTAACAAGGTATTAATAAGTGACCATCACCGATCCAATTAGTATTATAATGATATGACAGGAGAATCAAGTTGTATATGAACAGGAGAACTATTTCTATTCTATATAAACTATATAGTATGTGCAATTATTATCATGTAATTTTACTGAGGCAGAGATTTTCTTTCCATTTTCATTTTAATAAGCTAAAAGTAATTATATTTTTTTTCCATCAAAAAAGCAGACTGAACACATTTTAATTAATACAGCTGACAGACCAACATTGCCTATAACAGATTAAATCAGATAAACAGAAAAACTGTTGCAAAGGAGAATTTATCTATAAGATATTGTCATAGTTAAATAATTTCTGATAAAATGAAACTTTCAACCAAACAATAAACTACATTTAAAAATTCATTTCACCAAAATAATAGTAATAACAATAACTAGATGAACCCTCTTATGGTAATAAATGCATTATATATATCTCAGTAATGTCTTTCTGTTTATAGAATTTCAGATCAGTAGTTTTCAGCCATTTCATACAGTCCGAGATGGAACCCCTCGAGCTAAAGTTCTGTAGCCTGGTCTTTAAACCCCTCAAGCTAAAGTTCTGTAGCCTTGTCTTTAAACCCCTCGAGCTAAAGTTCTGTAGCCTTGTCTTTAAACCCTTCGAGCTAAAGTTCTGTAGCCTTGTCTTTAAACCCTTCGAGCTAAAGTTCTGTAGCCTTGTCTTTAAACCCCTCGAGCTAAAGTTCTGTAGCCTTGTCTTTAAACCCTTCGAGCTAAAGTTCTGTAGCCTTGTCTTTAAACCCCTCGAGCTAAAGTTCTGTAGCCTTGTCTTTATCAGGAATCAGCAGCTCTAGACATACATTTTTAAATCATTATCCCCTAACAAGACTTTGTTATATTTGGCTGGAATATGTCAACTATTTTGAGACTTGTTACCTCAGTTATACCTAGGCAGCAGAGACTACAACTTATTTCAGTTCAACTTGGTCCTTAGGACCTAGTGAACCCAAAGAAACTTGTCATAAACAAAACCAGATTAAAATGATTAGTAAACTGCAATCGAATCACATTTATAATTCACATTTTGTTTTTCTATGAAACATTATTACAGTATACAGTTAACCCCTCTTTTAAAGCTCTAGATCTATAATTGTATAATTTGTGCAACAAAAATATATATATATATATATGTCTCCCTCAATTTATCAGACGATCCTCTTTACAGCTGGAGTTTTACACTTTCATCATTGTATAGAACATGTTCCTGTATAATTCTGACAACACATACATCGTTCATTCATAGGTCGTGGAGGAATAAGGTCAAGGTCCTCATCATCAGGTTCAAGGTCAAGGTTATAGCCATCCTTAATTAACTGCTGGGTAATGTCTTTGTTAGCACCTCGTGATAACATTGGAGACTCAAAGTCATCATCATCACTAGAACAAACAGGCAGAATAGAAGATACCAAGAATAATATTGTATGTATGATAACATAAGACTAGGCACCAATATAAACATATAATGTGGAGTGAAAGACAGGCTACCTATACAACGACTAAATTCTGTCTCAGCAATGTTAAACATTTCATGTGCACTTTTAATGTCTTAATAAAATTCTAGTTAAGACTTTATTTCCTGAAATGTATAATGGAAAGGAAGCTCTAAAATGAATGATCATTGCCATTAATAGTCTAAGTACATTCAGTCAACATCACCTGCCCTTTGTCAAGTTGAAGTATGTTAATATCAAAATTTATGATAACATGAAGAGGTTATTTCAAAATCAAAACACTACACATATTTAAAAAGCACAGTGTTAAGTCCTTTATCAAAACCTACAAAGTTTAAATGTAGTTTGTTTAAGAATACAAAAAAGGATAATCAGACAAGATTAAAACCTTTCAAGCATTTCCAGACATTGACAATGCAAAATGTGCCACAGCCAAAAATATGATATTTACTGTGGTACAACCTACATAATTTGAAAAAAAAGCATACCAAAAAGATAGGAGGCTTTTAGATAAACATATAAAGGACCAAACTCATATGTCCATACCACACTACACCACGTATTCATGTAAAATAATCAAAACATTTTAGTAATTCTTGGTCTACTGAAGTGTCAAACTTCACTTTAGTGAGAAATTCTGTGACAAGATTAACATTACCATTATCCAACTTACAATTTTTTTCTTCCAAGATAAAAAATAACTGAATAAATATAATGGATTTTTTCTATTTGTATGTCACCTACCTCTCATCATCAGTCATAATAGCAACTAACGGCTGCTGGTCAAGAGGTCTTGGCTGTGAATCAGATTTAGGGGGGATCATCAGCCTGAAACCAACATCAATTAGTTTTCATTTGTTGAACATATTGCCTCATATCCACAAAGCAAGAAAGTTGAATATTGTCATGCACAATTTTTTATTTGATTTTCACAGCATATTTTAGCCAATGTTTTTTTACATGGACCTCATGCACATTTCTTGAAATCTTATCTATATGTTTAATGTGACCCATACCAAATTGAGCCAATGTGACTTTTTCTTGACCTTTAACATTAAGTAATGAAATTCTGAGAAAAAAAACTACATGTTTCTGGAACAATTATAAGAGAATATTTTCATACAGGGAAAGCACATTTCATCAGTGAGATGACCTTGATCTAAAATGACAAAATATATCAAAATACAAGTTCCCATTGGATTTCATATTGAGTGATTTCTAATTATATATGTATCTATGAATGTTAAACAAATGTTATTTGGTGCTACACATGTACTATATTTGTTTAAAGTTTCATAGAATATTCTGCAACTAGGATCACAATTGATATACCATATCTTATTTGCGACTTTTATAAATTGGGCATGCTACATTTCATCCTCATTTCTGTTTAACTAAAACTGCTCCAACAATTTCCAAGACATAATAACTATATGTATTGAATTTACACATAAAATCAACAAGGTTTTATGTATTGCAATATCAATTTTCACATGTAACAATGTATTATGTAAATACACCAGAATCAAAAGAAATATGGTACATTTTTCTCATTTTAGATGAAAAAGAATTTCCTGGAGCTACATTATACATGCACTTTTGAAGAAAGTACAAGAACTATAGGTTTATTCACTCACCGACTTCTAGGCATCATGAAGGTATTTTTGCTGGGCTGCTGATTTACAACTTTAGCCTTCCTAGCATTTTCTCTGTGTCTCTCTGTCATATAAAGTGGCATTATATAGTTGTTCAATGTTGAATTGTTTCTAGACTTATATTCGTAGAATTACTTGACTAGAAACAAACTGAATTTGTGAATACTCCTTTAAATAATATTTCATTTAAATTTGAAAAAAATGTAAAAGTACATTTTTGCAAACCCATTTTTTCCTCAGTTCAAGTAATAAAAGTGTTTAAATTTATAGATATAAAGCATGTAACATTTAACAATGTATTCAAACAATAGAAACTTAGTTTTGAAGTATTCATCAAATACGTGCAATACAGAACATGTTTCTTTTACCCATTGATGCCTACATATCCATGTGTATGTTGTATGTGAATATGTAAAAGCATAACATAGATTAATGCAACAACATTGTTTAAATTTAAGAAAGTTAAAAGTACCATCATTATTGCATATGGTAGATGTAAATCATTGTTACAGTTAATATAACAAGCTATTACACAATGGCATGTTTACCTATTTTCTTTTGCAGCTGTGAAGATTTCCTTTGTGCATTACTCTGTGTCCTGGCATCCGAGTAACTGGCTGAGGATACTGATGAGGAAGGTTTAGTATTCTTTGAAAAAGAAATAAAAGCAGTATAAGTTAATTGCATGATAACAATGAAATTTGTCATTACAAATTTATAAATGTAAATTGGATACAACCTGTGGTGAAAACACTTTCCTGCCACTGCCAGGACTTTCAGCGATGTATAGTCTCTGACAGGATTTAACAGCCACACCCATACACATACCCTCTTATCCAAAAACTCTGTCAAATTCTCCACCTGAGTACAAACTGAAACTTTGTACATTATTGTTGCAATTGTATATATAACCACACTCATAAGGTAGAAGAATATTGTCTATCATGAGGAATATATGACTGTGCATATACTTTGTTCTTTTCTGTAAATATGCCATTTTTGGCCAATTAGCATAACTGGAACCCTCACATGTCAGGAAATTGTGATTATAAGAATGTTGTAGCAACAAATGATGATTGAATTATCAATTGATCCCTTTGGATATGTTACCATGCCTTGTTTTAAACAGTTACATCTGTCAATATATGCCTGTTTGCATGATTATTGTATAAATGTCAGTATGAGGATGCCAAACAATACTTGAAGGTGGGATCAGTAGTATTTACATGTCCCTGGTCTACTGTATGGTCACTTTCTTTGTCAAACCTTCCCATGCTTCAGCATCTGGAGCTTCTAGCCTTGCCTAAATTCTTTAAATCATCCACAATTCTTTGTGATTGTACAAGATTGTACAATTGTGGAGTCAGTGCGTCTCAGGTGAACTGCTTCTGCATCATGAACCTTTCCACTGAGGTTCTGTATTTGATTCAATTCTTTGAATTCCAAGAGATTCCTATTCAGTTAATTTAGTGTTTTGAAGATTCACTGGCTCTAGATCTTTCAGTTTGGCAACTGTAGGCTTCTCTTTGTGTAAAAGAACATGTTAGAAATTCTAACGGTAAATTGAAAAATATATCACGATACAATTCTTAATTTACAGTCAAAATTTCAAACACCTTTCAACAGTTTCATATTTACAAAGCTGATTGTGAGATAACAAGGTATAGTGACATATAGTGAGGTACTCAATCGTTTCTGTGCTAATGTGGTTGTATATCAATAACACTTTTAAAAATCCATCACACAACAACCTAGCTCTAAAATCTAGTTGCTATAAGGCTATTGTACGGTTTGTTATTTTCAGATGTTTTTTTTAAAATCGAGTCCATAAGTCGGTGCACAAGTACCCGACTTGTACATCTCTAAGGTTTTTTGGTGTTTTTTTCATAATGTTGACTTTATGAAAGAGTGGATCTTGATGCACGCACCAGTTCACCTCCTGGGCCATCAGCGTTTAACCATGTTCCTTATTCATAATGGTACGTGTATTTATCTTTCGTTGCGTGTTTTAGTATGTTGTTGAATGAAATGTTGACAACTTGAACGTCTTTGTAAAGCGTGGTATTTAGAGGACGAACGATCAACTAAAATATATATTTCAAATAACAGATGGTCGTTCATTAAACTGTTTTTCGAGTACAGAATGTAAATATTTTTTTTGCAACCCAACCCAGACAGCAGACTAAGTATCCGAATTTTGTTTTTTTTTTATTTGCGACATCTGTCATCCAGAGCGAGTTTCCCCATGTCTCCTACCTGTGATTCACAGCCTCCGTTGAGCATTGATTTTTGATCACTATCAAATCCACTGTCTTCCATACTATCCATGGCATAAAACCGAAACAAACAATATGTTTATTTCTGGGTTATTATAACATTATTCACATCAGTCGTGTTCCGGAAGTTCATTGCCGACCATTTTTGTTCAAACAACGCGAGCTATACGAGATTCTCGTTTGCCGAATACACATGCGCGTTTCTAATGACAACTTGCAACGCCGTTTCCGTGTGTTTTTACTTCACAGAAGTTTCAGAAGTCAACATTTCAGGCCATTTGCTGGGATAACAATCAGAAATAAATATGCCACCGAAGGCAATTGGAAAAGGGAAGCAGGTATATAATATCGTTATCTACAATTAACACGATTTTGCCAATAATAGTGAAATTATTTGACTTGCCGTGCTGCACATGTTATGTATTGAATGAAAATGGAATAAACGGAATGACAATGTTAGCTTTTTTTTTTATGAAATTTGGTGATGATGTAGAGTATTCCTTTCAGATTAATTTCGTCTCGATGGTCATTTGTATGTTTGCTGATAATTTTCAATGGGGACTTCGTGTACATATATTTGTATATCTATTTACTTTACAATGGATTTGTGAAGAAGGGGTGATAGAAACGATAAGGCTGCGGTACCATGGTACTGTATGTTTTCACTGATACGAGGGACATTGTAGGCACGATATGTTGATAGCTGAAATGCCCGTCTGGTGAGTCTATGCACATAAATTTGCCTGTTTGTTGGACCCTCTCAAAATGCTACCATCTATTACAACAGAATCACTTAAATATTTCTGATATTATTGTGGTGAAAATACATCACCATTTGACAGATTATGAAAAACGAGATGACATGTAGGATAACCAGACATGTAGGATCACCAGACATGCAGAATCACCATATTCAACAGTAAATGAACATTATTAGTGTCATTTGGAAACTGGAACGAGTTACACAGCTTGGAAACACAATTATTTGTAATCAGGTCTGCACATACTTGTTCGATTGAGTATGTACATAATCTGTCAACTGCTATGAACCTGCATTGGTATATTTTCACATTATTAATGTAAAGCAATCTAATAATGGTAAGCTTGTTATATTAGTAACAATTGATGGCATTTACGAAGCGTTAGCTTGTCAACAGGCAAAGTTAGGATCACAGGATGTGCAGATTCACCAGACAGCATCATATATATCACATACACTGTATCAAGAAATATAGGAAATATGAAAAAGTAATTTGCAAGACGATGCTTGACGTCTTCTCCTATTAGTATTATTAAAGTATTATTTATTTATATTCTAATGATTCTCATTCTTTAGAGAGACATGTCCTTGCAACATTCAGTTTATTCATGCATAAGTACTAGCCTTGTCTGATAATACATATTCACCGTTATGATCAGTAATTTTTGTAGGATTTTTCAGGTGAGTCCAGATCACCAGATCCAAAATTTTGACGAGTCCAATTAGTAAGAGATATAATGGATTCTCAAAATTTGAGTGAGAGCATTAGTCCAAGGCTCAAATATATGAGTCCCAAAAATCACTGATGATAATTCAAAATTGGTATTACAGATGTACATTTATTGAGAGATGAGGCTGCTATATTTGGTTTATGTGCATGATCTATATTTTGAATCCATATCTGAATGAAAATCTGGTTTGCATTTAATATTTCAGTAGACTAAATGCATTTATTAACAAATAAAAATGACGATGCCTTGATAAGTGACAAATATGTTTTGATTGAAATGTTTGTTTGGAGAGATATTTGCATTTGTTTGAAATCATTTTGGTATTCAGTTTTGAAAAAATCCAGATTTTCATTATTTTATTAGTGAACGCTAATCTCTTTGCACCTTCTACTTTGTATTCTGTTATTTCCTAATGTGTGCCTGAATGTACCCCTCTAACTGTATTCCTTCCCTTCAGCCTGCAGAACCTTTATTCACATACTATGATATTCTGAATCCAAGCTTTCATTTAGTGTCATTTTAACAGCATGTATTTAGTCTAATCAACATTTAATGGCAATGAAAAATGATTGTAATTAATGTTGATAATATCTAGTAGATTACTCTCACATCTCACTGAACTGTTCTGTCTATAACTCTCATAATAAGTCTTGTTGAAGCACAGCATTACTATATTTTCTTATGATAAGCTTTTGCATATGTAAATAATGTCTCGTTCATAAAAATAATAGTCTGTTGCACTGGTAAATGATCAGCTTTAGAATGCACAGCACATACTAGGTACCAGATATATTAATTTTCTTTTTCAATACTGCATTGTATATCAAAGTCTTTGATTTTCGTGAATAGTTAAGAATAACACTGACAGTTATTACTTTTCATTATACTAGGTAAGTCTGTACAGTGCATGTCCATCTAATTGACTGTAACCCTCAGTTACGTATGTGTATACCATCATAGATTTGATCATTAATACAGAAGAATTAGTTAACACAGTAAATATTTTTTGACAGAGTATTGTAAGGCGTGCTTTTTTATTTTTATTTTTCTATTTCACATTTCAAAAAAAAAAAAGATTTTTTTTGTATCTGACATCGATCATAAAGATTATATGGTATTAAAAAATACAGTAATTCTGATTTACATACACACCAAATTACAATTTAAGGAAGTTAAACTTGAAAAAGGAAGAGAAAAAGAAAAAAAAAGTGCTAAATGGAAAATGCTAGCTTGAATTTCCTTAAAATTTATTTTTTTTGTTTATCTTTTCTTCATACACAAAAAAAAAATTATTTGCAGCGATTTTTATCTGCAAATATAATTAATTGTACAATGAACACCAATTCTCATGGAAACATCACTTTCCAATTTTTAAAGTTCAACTGCACAATATGAATTGAGAATCAAAAATAAAGGGTACACACATGAAAAAATTTTGAAATTAAAAAAAATTTTTTATTTTTTAGTCATTAAAAGTTCTCATGATTTGATAAACAACTTTCAAACTAGGGAGACAATTTTTTGTTTATTCATTTTTGTCTTTTATATATATACATATATATACAAAATATACAAAAGTTGTCCATTGTCCTATCAAGTTTATTTTTGATGTACAATGTACTAAAATGTATATTGTGAGAATAATTGTTTGACAACGGCCTGATGATAAAAGCTTGGTTTCTTGGTATCAATTGAATAAATTGTCTATGCAGGCTGGAGGAGCAAGTGACATTTCGCGTCGGAGAACGACACGAATGAGAGGGGTAAGTTTGCTCTTGTATAACTTTGTCTCATTGTTATGATTTCATTTATGAAATGTAGGTTGCTCCTAAAGGTAAAGCAAGAGGGAAGGTCCCAGGAAAGGTATATATTGACATAGACAATTCATCAATATGAGAGAATGTTTGGAAAAACAAATGTATTGAACTTTTTAAATTCTACTACCCAAATTCTATTCAATATGTTTGACAATAGAAATTTTAAAAAGTGTGACAATAATGTTGAAAACTTATGTGGACTGAAATAAATCAATTTTTTTCTTCTATCAAATTGAAAGCATAAGTGTTTAATGTGCTACAATGTGAATATGTCTGCTGTACAGGATGGAGATGACATGACAGACATGGGTGATGGCACAGACCAAGATGACTGGATACATGTAAGTAAACAAGAAAATGTGGAAAGACACTTTATTTCTCAATATTTTGATTATAAACTACGTTATTTTGATAAATTTGAAGGCATTGAATTATGGCGTAGTACTTAGTGTATGCAATGCATATATTTGTCGGAGGGTTGTACAAAATGTTATGTTAATTACTTACATGCAGATCAGATAGGGATCTTTCTCCATTAGGTTTAGTTTCTTAATCAAATCTGACATAATGGATATTTTGCATATTGATACTTTTCTTTAGTTGAAATTAAAAAAAGATGCATATGTTTGCAGAAGATGTCCTTTATTCATTTGCATATTTTCAGTTATTTCTGTCAACATCAAATAAACGATTGTTTCTTTTCTAGTCCAAAGCCCTAGTCAAGCCAGAAGATCAACTGGACCTTTCAGAGCAGGCAAGTTAATTGATTATGAACTTATGCTTATCATTTCAAGCAAATAGACAAAATAGTTATATGGCATTGTCTGTTTGTTTTAAATTTTCACATCCGCAGGTAATCTGTTTTTTAATGAATTTGAAATATATCCATTAGCAAGCTTTTTGCCATGACATCGTTAGTTGGGTCTTCCAAAGTGATATATCAAATATATCAATTCAATAATTTTTGAAAGAGACATGGCCCTTTTGTTTGTTTGTTTTTGGTTTTTTTAGTTTTTGTTGTTTTCAGCATTTTATCATTGTCTAGTGACTTAAACAGATAACATTTTTTTCTCTTCCAGTGTTAGATATATCTTTAAAACTTGTAACATTTTTTTAAACAATGTATGTATATAAAATTGTTTGCTTTTCTTTGTTTCTATGTATCTAGTTTTGTATTATTTTTTTTTCTTCAAAATTTTGATTTTGGAATGGTATCTATTTATTCTGTGCACTGTACTGTCTGCTCCACAAGGGTATGAAACATGTATAAAAAATCATTACTACTTTTCCTTTCATTCTTAATTTGTAAATTTTTGAAGGCAGAGCTCTTCAGGAATTTTCTTATTTTTTTTTCTTATATCTTCAGCAATTGAAAGAGGAGTTCACAAGAATTCTTACAGCCAACAATCCGCATGCACCTCAAAACATTGTGCGCTACAGCTTCAAGGTATGTAGTCTACATAAGTGTACTCCAGTGTTTTTGAGACAAAGATATTGGTATTTGATTCTAATTCTATAAGCACTGCAAATTGTTTATAAGAACTTTTTGCATTGATCACAAGTACGATCATTTAACAAAGTATTCATAAGTGAGTGCATTTGATATACAAATAAGCATTTAATGTACAAAATGTATTATAGCTGCATATTCCTATATATTTACACACACAGTAAACTAGAAGTTAATACAACTGTACAATCTCGTGATGTTATAGGAACGTCAGTACAAACAAATTTCCAGTGTGGACCAGTTGGCCATTCACTTCGCATTGGATGGAAACATGCTTCACAAGGACTCAGATGAGGCAAAGAGACAGATGGCTAAACTTGGAATGCCTGATGGTGAGTGAAGTAGTAATATTTTAAACATATCAAACACTAACAGCAAGACTTATCAATAAAGAAGGCGTGGTCATGATCGAAATTTAATTAACCAGAATGTTAAAATTTTTCTAGTGTTTTAAAGTGTGTTTATATGTATGAAGCAGATGGTGTGACCTTGTGGTGATGTTATACTTTTGGATTGTAGAAATTGTGGTACTTAAAGAGATGTGTTATTTATTTAGAAAACCCATATTATTATAACTATCTTGTCAATTATTGCCATGTTGAAGGAGAAACAACAGGATTAAGTCTGATGACGCAAGGTAACATTTGCCATATCTGACCAATAATCTACCTCCCATCCACGTCGTACCTATAGCTGTAGTTGTTAATAGTTGTGTTTTAGAACATTATAATTATCTCCCCTGACAAATATTTCATTTTCTCCCTTGAATTTTTATCTGTTTTCTGTTTTACTTTCTTGTATGCCTTGCCTTCTTTACTTATCATTTCAACTTAATAGCAATTAAAGAGGTTTAAGAACTTGACTTAATGTGTCTCTGCAACATTTTCTTCATCTAAATAACAAACACAAAAAGATCTTTTCTTTACTATTTTGTAAATCTCCACTCAAGTACAAATTGGAAAGATTTATTTATAAATGTTTAAGGTCAAGTTTGAAAAGCATACATAGCACATGTTATGATTTTCTAATTTGGTTGTGGGGGAGAAAGTTTAGATTTGGAAAAATTTGGACAAGTTCTGATTGAGATTGCCCCTGACATTTGGCCTCGTTACATGTATATAAAGGCAGGAAAGTCCTTGAAGCCTAGAAGCTTATTTTTTACATTTTAACTAATACATTTCATTGAAGTACTAAATCTAGATAATATAATCAAAGATTTAAAATCACTTTTCATAATACTCAACAAAACAAAAGGTAACAATTCATCTTGAATGTTATTTTTGTAATTACAGATGCTTATTGTACATTGTTTTTCAGGCTTATTGCCTTTATTAATGATGATATACCGTAACTTACTTTTCTGTATTAATGAGATAATGTTGATTCAGAACAGCTGTTGGGAGTCTGCAGAACTATCTCACCAGTATATCTATCATGCTGTTTAGATTGTCACTTGTATTTGTATATAAAAGGCAGTTATAGCTAAATATGATTTTCCAAAGTAAGCAAGTTCGTTAAAATATTTAGGTACATTGGATGTATGTCCTTTTAGTTACAAAAATATGAGTGCTGAAGGTTTGTAACATAACACAAAAACTATAAATGATATCAGCATAAAACTTGATAGGTAGATACATCTCAATAAGGAGAAGTGTAGTGCATCAGTACCATCACTCTTTATTGCATAATGTAAGAAACATGCCCTTTGTTATTTTTCATTCTTAAATTTTGTCCCATTCAGGGAGCATAACCGGTCTCTGATGGCCCTTGTTTAGATAGACTTGAACAATGATGTAAAAAATTATGTTATTATTATACAAATGTAACAATATAAACCTGCTGGAAAAAATTATGAGCAATTTATCCTTAGTTGATAGGTTTTTTTATGTGTATGTTTTTGAGACATTACAACAAATCACCACTGTTTGACCACTGTTTGACCACTGTTTGACCATTGTTTGACCATTGTTTCTGGAATCATTGGCTACTTTTCTCTTATTTTCTGTAAAATGTTAGCTACAACCTGTACAACTTTGTTTGATGAGCATAATGTGTTTATTATTCCAGGTCATTAAACATTTCTCTGATGTTCCTAGGTAATTCATGCAGCTAGTTTGTAATGGTCATTACAATGCTAACAGTTTAACATCTTATCAATTCTTCTAGTATTTTCCACAAAACAATTAAATAACTTGCAGAAAACAGGTGGATTCTCAAAGCTGAGTGTCAACAATATCATAAATCAGTCAATGATCATTAAAACTGAAGCTGGTCATTTGCACATGCTGGTAAAACAGGAGACATTTCACCCACTTGATTTTTGGTAATAAGTTTGTGTGAACTTGAATTTGTAAAGGGAAACTGAGGAATCCTTTAGGGAACTTAAATGTCTTAAATATGTACAAAACCAGATTTTCTTTAATTTTTTTCAAGCTTATCATCAATCAAATCATTGTTAACAAAGAAAATATGTTAATATCTCTTTCGTGTTTTCTAATCATTTTGAATTAATAAAACATGGTAGATTTAATCATGTAAACTATTGTTTTCAAGTCCAATGTGTAATTATTGTCACAAGAGAAACACTAATTTATCTCCAGAAGTTGCCATTGGTTACTGAGAAAAATCAGAGTTTGTGTGTCTTTTTTTGCAGCAGTCCAGAGTGAGCATGCTGGAAGTGAAGGTGGGGAAGGGGCTGGAGCCGGTGCAGCTGACGGGGAAGATGCTAAGGAAGAGGTATGGGAAACAATTCATAGATTTTTCAATACCACTGTATGGCATGCATATCCTCCCTATATGTCCTGTAGAGCCCTTACAGTTTACATAAATTGTCTCTGAGTAATGCAGACAAAGTTATGCATGTAACTGATTAATTTTGATCTATTTCAATACTTCAATTGTAATCTGTCTTCTCTTTTGGGGTTTAATTACATTTTTATGTGAGGTACAATTCAGGAAATATCACTACAAAAGAAAATATTAGTCTATGATCAAAAAGAGACTGTTCTACTATAGGCCCTTTTCAATTCAAATTATACCTTAAAATCATATGTGCCACATGTGCATCCTTTACACTTGTCACACTCTCACACATATAATGTATTCTACCTCTCATATATAAATAACTTCACATATCATGAACTTTCATATGTGACCGATCCTCACACATATCTACATTTAGACAAGTCCTACCTCTCATGTATGTTCTATCTTTCATACATAGCCAGCCATCACACATGACCAATCCTGAGACATATCTACCCTCTCACAAGTCCCAACTCTCAAACATGACCAATCATTAGACATATCTACCCTCTCACAAGTCCCAACTCTCACACATGACCAACTCTCAAAAATATGAATTCCCTCATAAGTCCCAACCCTCATACATTGCACACCTCACATGTTTAGAACAGACATTACATTTTTAATTGATGTACATCTGTGTTGTACAGGATAGATATAATTTTTTGAAGTGATAATGATTAACCTTACTTAATGTGTATGTCTAAACTCTTCATTACTGCTCGCAGTCTGGCTCAACCACTAACGGTCAGGCTGACCATGAGGAGCCTGTGCAAGAATTGGTATATCTCCATCACTTTTAAATCTTATTATTATTTTTTATGGGCACTACATACATGTATATTCTCACAAAAAAAAACTTGTGTTGCTTCATGGTCGTGCACTTACACCCTGTAGAAAAAAAACCCAGTGACTTGCCATTTTCCTTCAAACTTGATTTATTTACTAGATTCAAAACCCAATATCAGTAAAGTCTATATCTAAAGGTAGCCCATCTTTATCAACGCATTCTGATTTCTCAACAGTGTGTTTCATAAATCAAATCTTGCCTTGCCTTAGGTTAATGAACAGTAGTTAATTCAACATTTTGTCTCTTACTTTAAAAAAGAAAATGGAATATTGTGTTTGTTCTTGTATCTGTTTTATTGTAAAAATAAGGAAAAAGCCCCAGATGACAGGATAGATGTTAATTAAGATCAGATGAAACATTGGATAGGTTGTTCGTGTAATTATGTGGATTTGAACCCAGAACCTCCTTTTTGTTATCCTTATTGTATGATGGCATATAAACAGTTTATATCTATTGGTACACCTTGCTGTTTCCTGTTTAGATTTGCTTTATTTTGTTTTACATAGATATTTTCTGATAAGCTTAACTATTGTTGTGTTTGTGCATTTCTGTTTGTTTGTCCGTAATTGTTCTTATTTTTCTAGCAAATTTATGTGCTCAATCTTTAAGCTTTTTTAGAAACAAAATTAAGCATGTTTTGCTGGAGTTGCATTAAGAATAAAACTTTTGTATCATTTTCATATTGTAAAAATAATAAGGATAAGTCTGTGTTATTTTGTGACAGGGAGTAAGGATTAAAGTTGATATGGATATAATGGAATTTTACTTTCTACTTTGAATCTGTTTTTATGATATGAACACTATAACTGAAATCCTAATAGAGTCAGTTTAGCTTTAAGAAAATAGTCACCTTACAAAGCACCTTACTGTGTTTTGTAGATGTGGACCCCTAACTGTTAGATTTTGACTGTTTAAATGGTATACTCCCATGGTTTAAACATGGAAGCTGTTTTTGTTGTAGGGAAAGGATGAAGGGCGTGATGATGCTGCCACCCCTGCTCCAGCTGCTGCATCTGGAGGAGGCAAAAAACTTACAAACCAGTTCAACTACAGTGAGAGAGCTTCCCAGACCTACAACAACCCCTACCGGGTAAGTGTCTTATGTAACCTTGGTTTTTGATATAGAGTTCAAATTAAATAATCCTGAAATCAGTCTTGAACCAACACAGAAAAAGGTTTGTAGATGTATTGGATTTATAACAGAAATTGAAACATTTTTGTATGATTGTCTGGTGGTGTTTTCCAGGAGCGAGGCACTGCCACTGAACCTCCCCCAAGAGCCACATTCTCTGGTAGCGTCACTCAGTGGGAAATCTTCGATGCTTACAATGAGGATTTTGAGAAACAGGTAAAAACATGTGTCATTATAGAGAAGTTTTCACAAATTATTATTCATATAAGATTCATTCAATACAATGTATGTATCACTGGTACCATATATACAAACTTAGGTGTAAGTATAATGTATAGCTGACTGTTACACTGTAGATACATTGTATATCTGACTGTTACAATGTATGTACAATGTATAGCTGACTGTTACACTGTAGATAGCTGACTGTTACAATGTATAGCTGACTGTTACACTGTAGGTACAATGTATAGCTGACTGTTACAATGTATAGCTGAATGTTACAATGTAGGTACATTGTATAGCTGACTGTTACAATGTAGGTACATTGTATAGCTGACTGTTACAATGTTGGTACATTGTATAGCTGACTGTTACAATGTATAGCTGACTGTTACACTGTAGGTACAATGTATAGCTGACTGTTACAATGTATAGCTGAATGTTACAATGTAGGTACATTGTATAGCTGACTGTTACAATGTAGGTACATTGTATAGCTGACTGTTACAATGTTGGTACATTGTATAGCTGACTGTTACAATGTATAGCTGACTGTTACACTGTAGGTACAATGTATAGCTGACTGTTACAATGTATAAATGACTGTTACAATGTAGGTACAATGTATAGCTGACTGTTACATTGTATAGCTGACTGTTACATTGTATAGCTGACTGTTACAATGTATAGCTGACTGTTACAATGTATGTACAATGTATAGCAGATTGTTACACTGTATAAGGAACTGTTTCACTGTAGGTACAATGTATAGCTGACTGTTACAATGTATTACAATGTATAGCTGACTGTTACAATGTATGTACAATGTATAGCTGATTGTTACACTGTATAAGGAACTGTTTCACTGTAGGTACAATGTATAGCTGACTGTTACAATGTAGGTACAATGTATAGCTGACTGTTACAATGTATAGCTGAATGTTACAATGTATAAGTGACTGTTACAATGTAGGTACAATGTTAATCTGATACAATGTACAGATGACAGTTACATTGTATTATACAGTTGACTAATACAATATATATTTAACTGTTGTACTGTATATCAGACTGATCAAATGTGTATCTGACTTTGTATATGCCCATCAAAACTTTTAACAGGATATTATATGGTATGGTGCTGTCCATCAGTCTGTCTGCTTCAATCTTTTTTTTTCAGATCTCCTCCCATACTAGTCAACCAATCTTTTCACACTTAGTGGGCTCAATCACCATGACATAAATGTGTTTTCTTGAATGCTAGTTTGATTTGATGATATTGGAAGAGATACTACCCCTTGTTCTTTCCAAAGAGAAAATCTTGGCAGGAGCTGATCTGCTCTCTCAGTTTTCAACTGATTTAATCTAATCTTTGTAGGCTTAATTATCATTATATGAAGTTGTGATTTCTAGGATGACAGTTTGATTCAACTGTATTTGATAGAGTTATTGCCCCTTGTTGTTTTCATAATGTTAATCATGAGTGGAGAACTCTCTCAATTTCCAACCAACTTCTTTCAAACTTTCTAGACATTTTGACTATAACATTTGATTCTGTCAAGTCAGAAATTTCTGAAGGAGTCATTGTCCTTTGTTTATTAGCATTTCAATTTTTATGGAGATTTCCTTTCTTAATTTTTCCACCATATTTTCGGAAACTAGGTTAATGCAATTAATAGTAAATATTTTAGATATTAGCATTGCGATTTGATAATTTGGGATACCATAGTCTTTTTTTTATCTTGTCCAGAAGTCATTGCCCTTTGTTCTTATCAGTCTTAACCAGAGATTTCTTTCAGTTCTACCTATCTCCTTAACACTCGGTGGACTTAGTTTTAACATGAAACATATATAGCACTGTTTTCCCTAGACATTTTAACACATTATTACCGTTTCCATATTTTTACTCTTTTTGATATGGTAAATCATGAATATTTCTTTTGCACAGGACAGGCATAAAATTGTACTTTGGTTCAAAATATAGTTTGCCATTAACAAAAGTGAAATATGTTTTTAAAAAGTCAAATATCTGATGAATATAAAACTTGAAAAAGAATATAAAGTTATATCTGTACAGGGAATAACGAATGTAGTAAATTGTCCCTATGTACCCATGCTTTCCTACATTTGATTTTCCAAACTCCACATTTCATCCTTTTGTTCAATTTTCCTCTCAGTAGCTGAATATGTATAATATCACCTGTTCCACTGCACTCTCTTCATCCTGTTTGGTTGACCTCTCTAGTTGAATCTGTTCCCGTTCCTGTACGATCCTTCTGTGGTTAGTCCAAACAGTAACAATTCAGAGTTTATATTTTAGTACCAGGCCATGAAGGCTAAACAGGTCCAAAAGACACCCTCTATCTACCTGCATCACCATCAACTGATACAAGTATACACATCTCCTACTTACTTTTTATTCGAGGAATGCATCAATTATTTTGTATATCTGATAGTGGTTAGATTTCAGAAGCATTATGCACTGGCTGTAGTCATTCTAATGCAATTTCTGGCTACAGTAACCAGCACAAGCTGATCATATTTTTGTGACAGTCAAACTCATCTTCCCAAAAAAGCTTTAATCGTACATGTTTCATAAAAATACTCTTACAAAACTCAATTGTGAGTTTGATTAAGTTGAGATTGACTGTTTCAGAGGTCAAGCTTTTTATCCTTAATTCTATCATGATCATCTGATTCAGAAAGATTTGCCTACATCAACTTAAATACTTTCACCCAAATCTTAAGTTTGAAATTTACTTATAAATGTTGACCTTGAACATTTTGCTTATCATATCATTCATTTAATTTCCATACAAGTCTTTCTGTATCTGAAAGTGATCAATATTGGCGCCATGTTAGTTGAAGGCCTGCTGCTATTGGCTGCAGCAGGTCATTCAAGAATATGGTATATTCTAAAGTTTGACGTCTGCATGAAATATATATATATATATAGTTTGTATATAAAAAAGATAAGATAACTTTGTCTATTTAGTTTAGTGTGTATACTGTATATTACCTAAAGCCTGACAGTTATAAATAGTTTAAGATGGATTCTCTGTTCTCTCATTATGTACCTGAATGAAAACCTCTTACGTCCATTACACACCTCTACTGACAAAATAAGTACTTTGGGGTAAAAGCGAGAGAAAATAGTTTATCCCTATGAAATGTAAGCATCTGACTATGTTGATTGAGTGATTGTGATATATGTTTGACCTAATATGTACCTAGCGAATTCGAGCTGCCCGCAAGGCTGATCATTTTGGATTTGGTCCTATGAAATATAGTGGCAGGGTAGGTAAAGACAGCATTTGTATTGTCACTGTATAGTATATCTGACCATACAGAGAAATATGTACACCATCCTGTGGAAATAGTCAACTGACTACTCATTGTGGATCTGGACTGTTGTGTACACTTGTCCTGCCCAATTTACGTTTTCTTGTATCAGATAGAGGATATGTGTACACCATCTTGTGGAATATTGTATACTGATTGTAGAGCGTGGTGTGTACCTGTCATGGCTGAGGAAATATGTCTATTTTGTTGTGTAGGAATGTGTATATCGTTCTGGTCTATCACTTCACTTCAGTTTTTTAATGAATGAAAGATTTCTATATGTTGACTAAGGAATCCAACAATTACAATGTGACTCTGTGTAATGAATGTTTGGATTCCATTAGGCGTTTAACTTTCACATTTTCAACATTGTTAGTAAATGATAAACTCTGGTTAGTCTCAGGTAGTAACATTCTGTAATGTTATACCAAGAGAAAGCTTCGACAGTATGGCTGGAATGGTCATCAGTAGAATGCATGATTTAGTGAAATATAATAAACTTATGCACAGGATCCAGCATGGATATCCATTTCCATATACAATTCATGAAACAAGTCTTCAAACTTTTGTCTTATTTGTGGCTCAGTGTCGACAAATTTTATAAATTCATTTGAAGTTAAGGTGCCACTATTACAAATCAGGAAATTAGAAAATATCTGATAACAGAAAAAAAAATTACAAACATTCAAAGTCATTGACCCAGACAAAATTCTTCTGTTTGTCTTGATTGTGACAGTCAGATGAAAGTTTGAAATTTGTTTTGGTTTGATCACATCATACATGTAGCATGAACTGAAATATGACTTGGATATCATTAATGAACAACACTAGTAATTCATGTGGTAACTATATGCACACTGCATGTCTTTTGCATGTCTTCATTCTATATGATGTAAACACAATGTAATGAAAACCTTTTTGTTTTATTGTTTTATTATGTTGATGACTTACCGGCACGTAAATGATTTTGATTGATTACCTTGCTAAATTATACGTTGTTAATTTTCTTTTTTTCTTCTTTTTTGTTTTTTTTTCTCTAGACCTGCCACCTTTTGAGATGTCAAACAATCAATACTTGCAGTTTTATGCATTAATGATTTTGAAATGACATTTTAACAAAATTTATAGTTATCTCAGAAATCGTTCAGATTTAGCTGTCATGTCTAAAGCAACAAATATTTATACCTTATTTAGTACTTATCTAGAGCAGAGAAAACTTAATCACGGGTAAAACATGTTTTCTGTATCAGTACTTGATTACAGGTAAAGTGGCACTTGGTAATGCATTAATACCTAAATTTTGTAGGAGAAAAATAAAGAGAAGAAGGTGATACCAGGAAGACAGGCTGAGGAGAAAACGAGAAAGAAACTCACCATCACAGAAACCCAGGTATAGTTGTCTCCCCTGATACAAACATGACCTGGTGTATACCCATCTTCCTTCAGATACCTTTCCCAATATCTATTGATCTATGATGTCCAGGTTTACTCATGTAATTGTGACTGCTGTTTATTTCACACCAGTATGTATTCCATCTTGTAATTTTTATATTTAAAATCTTTTGGATTTACATTTATGTAAATTTGTACAAATTACCAGATTCTAAATTGTAATGACCTTAGATACTTTAAATGTTTTAGTCTAAATTCTACAATATGGTATGTATATTTCACACTTATTTTCTGAGCTTAGATATCACACAAATTATTTTATTGTGACTGTTCAGATATTGCTGAACTACAAATCTGTTTTAACAATTTAAAAACCCTTTTGACTTAATCTCTCTGTTAGTTAGAGCCAAACATACTAACATAGACAGAATTCAAATGACACAAGTATATTTCATCTTTTATCTGCACCTCTTAGTCTGTCAAGACTTTCAACACATTGAAAGAAAAAGAAAAAAAAAGTTACAAATTAAATAATAAAACTTTTCTACAACTGTAGTTTATAATATTAGACTCCATTCTTAAGCTTAAAAATATCAAATGTTTCTTTCTTTGATGTATCAGTTGTAAAACAGTAATTCTTGTTCAATATTTCCTTTATGTTAAAATATTTGCACTTTTAAAGTATTCTTAGAAGCACAATATCTGTCTCTGTTTATCCTTTCATACTGTACAAAATATGTACAGCTTCTGAATCACAAAGGAGTGAATTACACATTTATTTATTTTTTCTTTTAAAACATGCAATCCAATGCCAAATAAGTCTGATTAGCCCCTCTGACAATAAGCACAAAATGTGGTATTTAAATCAATATGAATTTATTAGTAAGCCTGTGTACTTTTTTTACTCCTCAATTTTACCAGACTCATCCATTTTTCATATGTTTAATTTTAATTTATGTTTTGATATCCCCAATCAAACGTATTTTTACTTTTATATGTTTTGACATCATTCAGTTATCAAAAGCGTTCCTATTAATTTTCAGGGAGCTGTGAGAATATATTTACTCTCTGCTGTTGGTGTGATCTATTTACAGTTCACCTGTTGGGTAGAATTATTCATTGTCCTAAGTTTAATCATTTGTTTCTTGCAATGATTTTAGAGTGATGATGTGACCAGAATTCAAAATGCAGCACAGATTGTAGAGAGGATGGTGAACCAGAATACATATGATGATATCGCTCAAGGTGAGATAACTTTGATGATCAAAACGTAAACCTGTCATGTTTCTGCAGGTCTTTGTTTTTCTCACAATGTCTTAGTATTAAAACAAAAGAAGAAGTTCATTTTTAAAATTGAATTCTAATTTCTTTTGTCAGATTTTAAATACTGGGATGATCCATCAGATGAGTACCGTGAAAATGAAGGCACACTCTTGCCACTCTGGAGATTCACCTTTGAAAAGGCCAAGAAATTGGCTGTCACTTCACTGTGTTGGAATCCCAAGTACAAGGACCTTTATGCAGTATCTTTTGGCTCTTGTAAGTTGATATAGTTTGATCACCTATTTGGTATGATGTTTCAAATTTTTTTAAGTTCCTCTAACAGATATTTTTGGTTATTTGATGTGGTAGTTGAGGACATATTTTAAATGTGTTCCAAAAGATGACAAGACTTTGTCAATTTACTGTGACACAAAGCTGCAAACAGATGATATTTTGTCTTCAGGTCTGTAATGTTTAGCTTGTTTAGGTGAAGCACAGATTTTGAGAAGATGCTTCAGTTTGTCTCCTGTTGTAAAAGTTGAAAGGTGGAAATAATTTTTCTCTTCATTTCTAGATGACTTCATGAAGCAAGGAAATGGTATGATTTTGTTTTACTCCCTGAAGAACCCATCCTTCCCTGAGTTTATCTATGAGACAGACAGCGGCCTGATGTGTTTAGATGTTCACCCAGAACACCCATACCTAGTGGTGGTGGGTTACTATGATGGAAGTGTTGGCGTATTCAATATTGAATGCAAAGAACCAGTGCACAGATGTACAGCAAAGAATGGCAAGCATACAGACCCAGTCTGGCAGGTAGGTATAGAGACTTAGGAGGAAAGCAGAGTAATTAGTTTAATGAGTTAGTAATCAAGTTGAACCCAAATTTGTTCTTTGAATGCTAGAACGCCTGACAAAAGTGTTCTAAAGCTATACATTAGTTTTAAAATAATGTAACTAGCACATTTTCAGTATTGAATTTTTGACCTTTCAACTTGAAAAAAATGCATGGGATCTGATATAACTGTTACATAACAAAACATTGAAATATTACAGGTTCGCTGGCAGAAGGATGATTTGGAAAACAATCACAATTTCTACTCTATATCCTCTGATGGCAGAATTGTTCAGTGGACCATTATCAAGGTACTGGCTGGGTTTTTTTTCTTTGTTGTTGCTATTGTTCTCTCCAGTAATGCATGAATACATAAACATACCACTGTTTTGTATTCCCTTTTTACCCTTGTAATGAAATTGACTTGGTCACAACTGACTTGAAGCAAACTGTTTCTGACAGACAATCCAGGTACTATTGTATTACACATTATTAACATACTGTGATTTGGGATTTCCAGAATGAATTGATCTACCAGGATGTGATCCAGCTGACCTTACCTGAGGCACCAGCAGAAGGTCCTGATGGTACGAAGGTCAGCACTGTTGGTAAGTACACTTTCATCTGGTTTCAGTCTTCTTTTGATCTAAATTTAATCATGCTGTAGTTTGTTTAGGATAAGCAACACAATGAACGACGTGTATATGATGTGATTTCAGGCTGTGGAACCGCATTTGACTTCCACAAGAAGAATGACTACATGTTCCTGGTAGGTACCGAAGAGGGGAAAATCCACACCTGCTCTAAAGCCTACAGTAGCCAGTTCCTGGATACCAACCTAGCCCATAACATGGCTGTGTACCAGGTACGCTGGAACCCATGGCATCCGGACATCTACATCACATGTAGTGCTGATTGGACTGTGAAAATCTGGGAAGTTAGCAACAAGACCACCGTAGATACTAACTCGGAAAACGTTGAGAACGTCTCTTCCAGGTACTGTACAGATTGTTGTTGTATGTTTTTCTCTTCACACTAACTCAACCAACACTGAAAACATCTCTCCCAGGTATTGTACTGGTCCTTGGTTCATGTTTTTATCTTGACACCAACAAGATTTTACGATGTGCTATACAATGTCCTAAATGTAGAGTTTTATCCAGACATTAACTCATGCAATACTGAGAAATCCCTTCCAGGTGCTGTACTGGTCCTTGGTTCATGTTTTTTGTTTTCTTTTGACATTAACTCATACAATAATGAAAACATCTCTACCTGTTACTGTACATGGTCCTGTGTAGAGTTTTCTGTAAATACTAACCCAGACCATGCACAGATCCTTGGTGTTTGGTTTTTTGTTCTCATGTCATTAATACTGAGAACATCTCTACCAAGTACAAGTAGGATGCTCAGATCTGAGATAAATGTATATTAGTGGATCTACTGGAGTGTTTTGAGTTATATTTAATTGCCATATTTATTACAGTGAGTGAGTGATCGTCCAAATAAAACAAATTTTTGTTGAATTATTATTTACAGGAAAGCTTTGTTTACATTTGACTTGAACAACTCTGTGGGCGATGTGGCTTGGGCTCCATATTCCTCCACAGTGTTTGCTGCTGTGACAGCTGATGGAAAGGTATGCTTCAATCAATTACCACCAGGAAAAGTCAAACAGTATATCATTTAGTTTGAATTTTTTCTATCCTAGAGTTTACACTGTCACAAACGTTATTGTATCAGTATGATTTTTAAAATATCATAATCTACTCTCTTGTCATCAGGTGTTTGTTTATGATCTGAACGTGAACAAGTATGAGCCCCTATGTGAACAGATGGTGGCTGTGAAAAAGAAGACCAAGCTCACTCATATAGAGTTCAACCCTGTCTATCCTATTATAATTGTTGGTGATGATAGGTAAGTATTAATGTGCTGACATATCTTGTTCACATGCTTTCGTGAAAAGTTTTAACAGAAATACTTATAAGATGTTCTTTTTATTTACTCAGAAGTAAACTTATACATCTTATGATTTCAGGGGTAATGTTACAAGTTTGAAACTGTCTCCTAATCTCAAGAAAATGCCAAAGGTAAGATTTCATGTTTACTTCTTAAAGATCAATACAATTTTGATCGTTTAACAATCAGTCTATTTCATTTGGTTAAATGAATGATGAATCTGAACATTTTATTTACTTTCAATACTAGTTGTGGTGTTATACAATGTTCATTCTTGGAATAAATGATTAAAACATAAATATTGATATATGATATGTTTTGAGCTGTACTGGTAAGAACTTATTTAACTTAAGGGATAATTTGTAGCATGTTTGTAACTAATGTTGTGATACTAATATCTGTCCCTGAAATGGGGTCCATACATCTCTCCTTCATGCTTGTTAAATGTGTACTAATACATGTATGTATGTGTGCACTGTGATTGTGACAAGATTAGCAGTGCAGTCATGTCGGTAGTGATTTCACAGGAAGTACTTCATAGATGGTGCTTACTACATGTGTACACCTTAATGTTACTGTGACCACAGCAACTGTTTCACACCACTAGTGATTGAAATAGTAACTTACATCTAGGTTTGTCTTTGACCAGCTGAGGATATTTTAGAGTATGTGTTGTGTGTAGTTGTGGGCCATGTAAACTTAATGACATTTAGAGAGTAGAATTATTTTGATTTATGCGGGAAGGACAGGGAAATGATTTAATAATAAATGTTCTGTTAGTGTTCACCAATAAGCTGCTACCTTTTCATGATCTTACCTGGAAAAGTCCTCATCATCCTTCATTTTCGTGAGTGAAAAGAAAATGGTTGAAAATAGTAAAAGTTATTTCTTCCCTTTTTGATTTCATTTTGATTCATTAAGTAATTGAAGTTACAGGTACATAAATCTTTTAAATACTTTTGTAATGTACATATAACAGTTGAATTGTTCTGAATGTTGTATTGAATGTGAAGAACATTATGAATGATATTTTGATGTGTTATTTTTCAAGCATTACTTCTTAGAGGATAGCGACATTAACGACAACCCACTAAGAGTTTTATTACTTGTTACTCTCAGTGTGAGTTGTGGCTGGTATTTCATTGTTACCAGGTCTTTCTTTTCTCAAGCACAGTGCCACAGGATCATTCCGTTACTGGCAAATCTCAGTTTTACACACTCTAAATGAAGCAACAAAATAACTTCTATTTCAAATACATTTTTGATACAGCAATCTGCACTTACATATGCTTGGCACTGTCATATATCATGCACTGCTTTTCAATTTTTATAAGACCACTTGGATGTATGAGAGCAACATAAGAAAATGCAGGTGTCATTTATACACCATGTAAATACCATGTGACCAATATTTTGTATGCAGAAATGATACTGACAATGTTAGAGTGAATTCCGTTTATAAAAGTATTGTAAAAAGAAATAAGATTTACTCGATTTAAATGACGTTTTGCTAATTTTTCTGTCTTGTTTAGGACAAAATCACACTGCTCCATTTTGTTTCTACCACTTTTTTTTTTTTTGAAATTTCAGTGTTTATGTATCGTGTTACGCTATATTGTTATAAACTTTGATGTTACTCATGCACTAGCATAAAATGTGGAAAAATTGATATTGTAATAAAAAAATCTTGACAATACCATACATATATCTTACTAGCTGATATTATATTTATATCTAACAAAGATTTTGCGCAAAGGAAAGGTAAGATATCAACAGAGATTCCAGTTAAATAAGTTTTTTATTCTTCATGCAAAACATCAATAAAAAAAGTCATGCTTTATAAGAAAAAGTTGTTAAAATGTAACTTCAGAGTTAAAGGAAATCAATTAGGCCATGCAATATCCTTTGGTTATTAAAAATCAATTCAAAATAACCTACAGCATACTACTGAATTGTAAAACATCAGTGCACTTTTATTACATAAAAAGAGAAAATAAAAATTCCCACTTCAGGATTGTAATATATCAATACAAGGGTCTAACTTTTGTGATAAGAAATTTCAGCCTCTGTTTAATGTCAATAAAAGGGTCACAGTTTTTATTTTGACTACTGTTTAATCAGACTGTGTGTCTTTACCATACAAACACCTAAATGACACTGGTGTGTGTGAGATATGTGTACCATGTTTTTTTCATATTACCTCATTACCTTTCCACACTCTTTTACTGAGTATAACACTTTTCAGTGTTATCTCATGTGAATTCACATAATGATCTACTGTGATGTTTCAGGTGTGACTTGTTTTGTTTTTTCTGTAATTTGAAACGTGTTGAACATCAAACCATATCCTTGTGCTCTCATTGTTCGTGTAGTTCAAAGTGTATAACATACATGTTGGTACTCTAATCCTGTATATATTAGTGATAAGCTATATACTAATCACTGTTAAGGTTTGTTAAATGTTGTGATTAACTTGTATAGTGGTATGATTGCTTGTACTGTCGTTTTAAAGCTTTGTTAAGAAGCACAGTAGTAATTAATTCTGTAGTAGTACTTGTCTAATTGTTCACTTTGCAATGACTAATGTAACATTCTGATGTTTATGTTGGGTAATAGATATATTTCTAATTGAATTACCTTGTCCGTAATTTTAGGAGAAAAAGGGCCAGCCTGCTATGGACCCAGCCCAGAGAGAACAATTGGAGATCGCTAAGCTCGACAAACTGCTGAACATGGTACGTGAACCAACAGAGGGATCGAAACCACCCCCAGCAACTGAGAAGAAATAGATCTCAATGGAAACGCATAGGAATTAACTCTAGAGACCAACGTGGAAATTAACACTCTGTGTGTAACAAAACCAATATTGAAAACCATGGCCATCACCTGCAAGGAATGGACACAGACTGTGTAAAAAAAACTAGGTGTATACAAAGCAGGTTGGTAGGTTATTTATAGGAACATGCATGTAACAAAATTAAGGTCATGGAAAAGTGCTTTGGATTGGTTTAATTCATCGGATATTTTGTGATTTGCCGAGGAAGAATACAACCTTCATGTGAACATCTTTTTGCAAAGCCAAATGATATGAGTTTTTCAAACTTAATACAGAATGACACTATGACTCACATGTGACATTCTTTCTCTTTTGATGTAATATTACGCTATTTTTAATGAAATGTGGACTTAGATTGTATTTGTTATGTTATTTTGCGAGTACATTGGTGCTTGCCTTTACCGTAAACTTAATTTAAGATATTTGTTTCATTTGGTACGAGTGTATGATATTGTGTGAAAGACGTGTGTGTGTCTGTTTATACAAGAACATGTAATAAAATATTATTCTTGAGAATTTCACCTTTTTACTTGTATATTGAAATTACTAATGTCATGATTATGAATTTATCAAATTGCATTGTCTACATTTATATATAAATTAAAGAGATATTCATGCAACTTGTCAGCTTTGTTTTAATACCTATTGCTAATGTTTCCACACACAGATAAGATACCAGGGTACACTTCTGTGCCTGCTAATGTTTCCACACACAGATAAGATACCAGGGTACACTTCTGTGCCTGCTAATGTTTCGACATACAGATAAGATACCAGAGTACACTTCTGTGCCTGCTAATGTTTCCACACACAGATAAGTTACCAGAGTACACTTCTGTGTCTGCTAATGTTTCTACACACTGATAAGTTATAATGTTTCGACATACAGATAAGTTACCAGAGTACAGTTCTGTGCCTGCTAATGTTTAGACACACAGATAAGTTACTAGAGTACACTTCTGTGCCTGCTAATGTTTCCACACACAGATAAGTTACCAGGGTACATTTCTGTGCCTGTTAATGTTTCCACACACCGTTAAGACACCAGAGTACACTTCTGTGCCTGTTAATGTTTCGACACACAGATAAGTTACCAGAGTACGCTTCTGTGTCTGCTAATGTTTCTACACACTGATAAGATACCAGGGTACGCTTCTGTGCCTGCTAATGTTTCGACACACAGAAACTGCTTTCTATTTCTGGATAGCAACATTCCTGATTCCCAGCCTATGCACAATTGATTCCATATTGACAGCCGGTATTTTCTTGCTTTTATAGGATAACAATGAATTATTTTCATGATATGGCATGCAAATCGTTTGTGAATGACCTACCATTTGGCGCCATTGGATATCGGAATTTTGTAGGCTTTGTACAATATGATTTAGTGTGTTCGTGTAGCATTTGATTTTGTTATTGAAAAATGTAACTGAACCTTCCTATATCCTATTCTCTTCTGACAAGTATCATAGCGTCGATTTAGACCACCATGTGCATCGATTATACGAATAAAAACTCACAACAATTACTCAGCATTTCTAATAACCTTAATGTAATAAAAGTTGCCGATAAATTACAGCGGTAAAGGTGTTAAACACAACACAGATTTAAGTTTCAATGTTTACAGAAATACGTATGTATGATGCTATTTATCAATAAATTTCGACAATTTAGAGAGAAAGGCGATATCCTAAACTTGTATTATCACCCGTGATATCTTACTCTGTATTTGTACTGATGTGATACATGTAATTTATATACAGTAAAATTACTAGCGATACATTACATTATACTTCCCTGATAAAACACACCGCTTCTATATACATGACTCGGTATTTCACAAGTTCAAAAATGGGCGTGCAATACTGCTGTATAAGTATGCATTTGTCGACAAGCAAGACAATATCGCTGTTGTAAAGCACAATGGACGAAAACTTAGACCTTTTTGGTTATAATAACACCAAAGTTTACTGACTAAGTACCTTCCAGTTTTCTGATATATCGTTTCGAACACGCAACACCAGACACAGTCACGGGTGATTGTTCAACATCAGTGGAAACGTGTTTATCCGCAGATATATATTGGAAATTTAATGCGATGATATACTCTTATTGTGATATTGCTATGGCTGTTTTCAATAAAATATTTCCATAACTATTTATTTAGATTGTATTATTCATGACCATTTAACAATACCTTTTACATGAACATATTGTCCGTTAAATGTGTACTTCTACTGAATTGGTTTTATTGGACACGTTGGGACAGAATCAGAATCATGATGGTTAGATCTGAAGGTGACTGCTCGCTCACAATAAGTGGTCACTTTAGTTCAATATCGACTTGTACAGATATCATGTACTGATTCAGTGTCTAAACTGTGAAATGGCCTGAATAAGTACAACATACATAATCTGCTTCAATAGATAAATATTACTGATTCGTTCTGATAAACTTGCAGTTTTTTTTAAACAACACTGTACACCTCTATCGTTTAGGTTAATATTGACGTGTTTTTGGAATACCAGATGAAATTTTAAAAAAAACACTCTCGGCCTGAAACATTATTAACAATATTTAACGTTCTTAAAGAAATACTTTTCATCACCGTCAATTTTTTTTATAAGATATGCTTTAAAAGTTTAAAGTTAAATATTGTGAAACAGTAAACAGTGAAATTTATAGCAGTCGGTTGGTAAATTCTTGACCTGGGGTTGATAAGGACAGTGACAGCAGCACCATCGACTTGTTAATGGTGAACAAGGAAAGATGCTATTACAATCATATTGATGAAACTATCACACATGATATGTCTGAAAAGCTTTCCAATTATTATAGCTTACTTAATGAATAAGTCATTTCGATTCTTCCTCTTATCTAAATGTGAACTTTATAATCGACATTTTACATACGTACAAATTTATCGAAATACAAATTCTATGCTCTTTGACTTTCATGTATGTTGGTTCTGTAATGTTATTTGAAAAAACGACACGTTTGAAATTTGTAGAAATGTTTTCACTATAAAGTCATAGGTCAGAACATGGGTTGGCACAAAGTTTTCAAATTTTCAAATCCACGCAGGAATTAGATGTGATAAGGCATGTCCGCATCTGAAAACACATCATATTTCTTGTAGGGCCATCTTTCTCGACAATGACGGAATACTGTGTATAGAATCACAACGTCATCATTCCACATCCAAAATGTTGAATCTGACGGTGTGAAATGTATGGGTAAGTTTACAATGTTTAACTATTCCAGCGTTTAGAGAGGTCTTTCTAGATATTGTAAGGTATCGCGTAACTCGCCGTTATTCAATGATTAATGACGTATGTAATACTAATTGTTTGGTGAGTTTGTTTGTTTGTTTTTTTTTTTTTTTATAAAACGAAAGCTGAGTCCAACTTGTTTAGTTCTGGCTGGTTTACATTGTTATTAATGGTCAACTTTAAACTTTAAATCCAATATAATTACCACTAAAACAAACCCACACGATTTGATTATCATTTTATACTACCAATAGTATTAGTGTTATGGTCATTTAGTAATATGGATGATTATCGCACCCTCAACATTGTTAGAATGCTTGGAAAATTCCTTCAGTGGCTGTTTTGTCGTACAATCATTTTTGATTTGGGTGTTTCCATTAAATATCTTAATTAATATCTGGTACTTACAATTCAATCACCTAAACCTTTTTCTGTGTCACCTATTTGGTGGAGAAGTGATAATTTAATCATGATAAGAAAGTTTCCCAGCGGTCGAGGTAGCATTTCTGTGCATTGCGTTAACTGTCGATTAATGATAAAGTATTCATTGTAAATATAGATTCGATAATGAAAACATGTACTTGACGTCCTATTAAAACTATCAGATATATGGTATTTACAAAACTTACTGAATTTTGGAGCTAGTACACCTCTCTGTCTAGATTTTGCCATTTCTTTCGATAAGTTTGGATTCTCCCCAGTCGCCGCCTCTGTTTAGGCCATTAGCATAACTGATGAGTCCTAGACGGACGATACGTCTGTATGATGCAGTTTAACTCATTCTTTAAATCTACTGTATCTAACTATATTTGTATTAAAAGGAGCTGTTCACATGTGTGCCTTTTGTACAATCATATTGAAGATAGAAAGTGAAAATATCAATGTTACATAGTATGGATATAATAACAAACATTTTCCAGCTTCAACATCTCCGATACTTTAATCAGTCTCTCGTGTCATCTCTTCAGCACAGACCCTTAGATGTGCTTACATGTTCACATATCCTTCCGCCTGGGTGTCTTATCCGATCACATGACTTTATATATATATATAAATTTATTATCGGCAGATATACTTAGTGCGCGGTCAGCTTCGTGTGTCCACTCCGCATAGAATCATATCAACATGGCAGGAATGACCTTACCCGACCCTATCAAGAATCCAAAAGTCAAGTATACAAAGGTAAGTAAAACCATTGACTTGTTAATTGATTTTTATGATAATTGATTAAGTCACGTTTAAATTGTTGTTGCACTGTGAATTCTGTATCACTGAGTTATCTGTCTCTTTTTACCTCTACGTCAAACACTTGTGTTACCTGTAATGTATAAACAATAGACGTTCTCCTTTCTAACACCAAATAGACAGGGGTATTATCACAGCGCGGGCACTTATCTTTATGAAGATAAACTGTTACACACTAGAGAAGTTTTCCCTATTATAGCTAATATAAAATCATTGAACTGTGAATGTTTAAGAAGTATCACACTACATTATGTCTACAACAACATCTAAGTAAAAAAAATACCATACATCCTGATGTCTACGATAGCACCTGTGTATGCACACCGCGTGGTTATCTATATCTGCCACACATTACATTTAACCGCAGTGTATAGAATGACTACACGTATATGCACCCGGTTATTCATGCCTTGATTACAATTACTTACAACAGCATTGTAAACATCTTGTTCCACGTGTTAAACATTCTTTTATATTCTTTTAAATCAATGGGATAACATTTATCAATGAGAAAATAATTAGGAGTAGGGTCATTGGGTTGATGGAAGAGTGAGAAGTTCAAATATTCAATAGTGTTTTTCCATGTGTGGGATCGATATATTTTAAGTCCACACGTTTCATTTAACATAACTACTTTGGCGTTAATTTAATTGATTATCACTACGGAAAGTTAAACGTGCCATTGGCGAAGATTAGTGTAAATGCACGCTGTTAGATTTCCCGTAATTCAAAGTCCATCATTTCTCACGGAAAAATGCGCCAATGAATATGAATGAGAGATTAGTTCGTTTTAAGGATAACATCACCCTCTTAAACCTGACTTCCGAGAAGCTTATCGTACTTGATTTTATCAATGTCCTTACATCTACCATGTACTGCTTCCTCTTCACAGCTTTTCATCAACAATGAGTATGTGAATTCTGTCAGCGGGAAAACGTTCCCCACTCTGAACCCAAGTACAGGAGAAAAAATAGCCAGTATTCAAGAAGGAGACAAGGTATTCAGGAAACAGTGTTTGCATATATGTATACAACTTTAAAACACAAAAGGCATATACGAATGACATACAGTGTTAGAAGGTTACCTTTTAATCAAATGGTTAGATTATTGATTATAAGAAGAGAAGTTAGGATTTGTTGAGAATTAAGCGCGTCTAACAAAGTAAGAATTATATATGTATGAGAAAACTTTAAATATTTTAATTTAGTGGTAAAATAGCTTACCTTTTATTTTTCAACACTATAATTTAATTAACTTTTGTTATATTGAACCCATCTTACCTCTAAGGCCGACATTGACAAGGCAGTGAAAGCCGCTCAAGCTGCATTTCAGCCCAAAACACCATGGCGCTTGATGAACGCCAGTCAGAGAGGCGTACTCCTGAACAAACTGGCTGACTTAATGGAGAGGGACAGAATATATATATCGGTGAGTAGAGACAAAACACAGTCATACAAGAATTTAGAAATGATAAAAAGAAGGCTGACTTTTACAACAACAACACCAAAAATATATAAAAAATAAAAATGATAAATACTTAAAATTAAAAAAAAACCCTGAATGACACCATTAGTCAAACACCCAACTAATGATATACAAACGTATGGTATATTTGAACAGTGGAACGATTCAGACTGCGTACAAGTACCTCATTTTGAAATAGTCTAGCACCTCTCCATTTATAGTTTGACATTGATATCATCCTATCAGGATTTTCTCTAGTCATCTCTTCTCATTTTAGATTCATAGCATTTATGTCGATTGCTAGTAAGGCAAAATAAATGTACCATGCAGTATAATTCATTGTTTGACTCAGTTGTAATTTATTCAAAACTTTGTTTCTATTTCATATAATCTATCTAATGTATCTTCTTGATTATTTGTGAATGATAATTTTTGCAAGGAAGCTTTCAGGTTTTTAAAACTACCTAAAATCTCAAAGGGAATACCAACATGTCAACACAATCATAATTCAATCTGAAGTTCAAAAAATATGAAGAAAAGAAAGATTTTCACAAAGACTCCTGAAGAGTAACAGAAGGATAAAGCCAGGTGTTTCGAAAGAGTAAGCATATTCTGCTTCATCGACACCCGCCATGCAAATATGGGCCAATCCAAATAAGTGAGGTCACGTTCCCAAATGAGAACACGGCATACAACAACGGACCAAACAGGCAAAGACATCAAGAAAATACCAACATGTCATCATAATCATAATCCAAACTCAAATTACATATACTTAGGGCAAATATGAACAAAAGAAAGATTTACCTGGAGACTTCTGAAATAGTACAAGGAGAATAAGACAACGTGTTCCGGAAGATTAAGCATCTTCTGCTTCAACGACGACAACTGCCATGTAAACTTTGGTCAATAACGCCACATTCTCAAATGAGAGCAAGGTTAACAACAACTGAACCAACAGGCAAAGAAACGAGCATCAAACACATCCAGCTTCATGTCGACTAGTATATTTCTCAATGAGATTACTATGGCCACCATAATACTTCCCCATAATTTTTTTCAACTTGCATCTGTTTAAATCCTTTGTTTTCTCAAGCACATACGGACGAGACATCAATCAAAACTTTAAAAAAATTACTTAAGGTATGCAATTATCATTACCATTTATCCATAAAATCATTTTTGTTGTTGTTGTTGTTGTTGTTGTTGTTGTTGTTGTTGTTGTTGTTGTTGTTGTTGTTGTCAGAACCCTGATAGCTGTAAGTAGATTTTTACATTCAGAGTCTGGAAACCTTGGACAATGGAAAACCGTTCAGAGATATGTATATGAACGACATGACGATGGCGATCAATACGTGCCGATATTACGCTGGCTGGACAGATAAGATCATGGGAAGAACCATCCCTGTCGGTACGTCGGTATTGTCATGACGCATATGCATACTTTTCAAAAAGTCGTTAATACTGAGTTATAAGACGAAAAAAATGAGATTATTCGTCGTAGTTTTGTCCTTTGTATACACCACTGGCTGTCATTGACAGCAACATTTTTCGTCTCGTTCTGGTATTAACGTAGCTATTGGTTAACAGTTCCACTGTAAAAAATATTGAATTATAAACAATCGGTAAACTCAGGTACTTATATTTCAAGTTTATTATTTACTGTTTTCCTTTTTTTAAGATGGGCCATTTTTCTGCTATACAAGACACGAGCCTGTGGGAATATGTGGACAAATAATTCCAGTAAACCTCCAATTTACACATTTACTAATGTGATGTTATGTAAAATGCTAGTTCATCCTTCCATGAATCACGATGTCTTCAAGTGACAATTTCCTGATATTTGTTGTGATTACACGTACCATTACACTTCATTATTAAACCGTTGTAAAAGCCACAGTATCCGAGTTATTAAGGCTATTAATACATGTTTAAAAGCTCGCTATAACGTTTTGCGTGAATTTTAATTCATATTGTTCTGAATTCATTATAACAGTATTTATATATACTATTGGACAGTGCTTAGAAAAATAAAAGTCACAACTCATTTCTATACACACAGTGGAACTTTCCTGTACTCATGTTGATGTGGAAAGTAGCGCCTGCTCTGGCTTGTGGCAATTGTATTGTGCTGAAGCCCGCCGAACAAACGCCATTGACCGCTCTGTACATGGGATCTCTCTTCAAGGAGGTGTGTCATTTATATCTAGGTATCATACTAGTTATAAACGGAAGCATGGTATTCCATAAAGCCGCCTTCAGGATGTTTCTACATTTTAATTAAACCTTAATGGAATTTGTGTTAAAGTTTGAATATCATTTTCAGGTTGAGCAACAAATATACATATCCAAAACGAAAGTTTTGATTTATCTTGTAACTATAAATTAAATCCAAAAATATCTTTTGTGAAGCCATTTTTTCTGTAAGAATTAAGATTGTGTCACGGAAAGAAAGTTTGTCGAGACTTAATAAAACAGAACACAAAAACCAAACATAATAACACATTTTCCCTACTCTGTTCATTATTTTACACGATTTTATTTATTTATCTATCTATCTAAAACAGCGAGTAGATAGTCATAGCCCTTTGGACTTCTAATTTACACGACAAAATTATCTGTGTCATGTTCGCTTCTAATTATAGTAAAATATATATTAGTAACTTTATGAATATTTGCATGCAGGCTGGTTTTCCGCCAGGGGTTGTCAATATAGTTGCCGGATATGGTCCGACCGCCGGTGCTGCCATCTCGAGTCACACGGGCATTAACAAAGTCGCATTCACTGGTTCTACGGAGGTGGGTATATTGTATTATGACGAGTAAGTTATAGGTGATAAATATTAACTCATGGTGAACTTTAATACAAGTTTACACATAGTTTGGTTTACTTTTACAATCAAGATCAATTTACATTGCAGGTCGGAAAACTCATTATGAAGGCTGCTGCCGATTCCAATCTGAAGAGAGTTACATTGGAGCTCGGAGGCAAAAGTCCCAACGTTATTTTCGCAGATGCAAACTGTAAGCAGTGATTTAGTATACAAGAATTAAATTTCCTGAGAAAATCCAGATTTCAGATTTCCAGATTTTCTGAAAGCAATATCATGCTGAAGTTCTCAATCCAATATGTCAATATGATGTACTTCATATTATTACCATTATTCTATTGTTACCAGGGGGTCGTTTTAACATATTTGTCCTAGAGGAATGAGGACCATGTGCATAACCATTGAACTACTTCTTGTGTAAGGTATCTTCTAAAGGGCAGTTAGTATACATCTCATATACCCCTACCTCTTTGTAGAATGATTACCACTGTTGATGTCTTTTTTCAGTGGACTTTGCAGCAGAGATGTCCCACCAAGCGTTGTTTTACAATCAAGGCCAATGCTGCACAGCAGGGTCGAGAACCTATGTCCAGGAAGAGATCTATGAGGATTTCAAGGACAGGCTTGTCAACAGAGCTAAAGCCCGATCTGTTGGAGATCCGTTTGATCCACAATTTGAGTCAGGACCACAGGTATATCGCTGTTTTGGTTTTAACTGACCACTATTTGGTGTACAATACCACTAAAATTCTGTGGACAAAAGCATTTCTATTAATGGTTGTCATTTTGTCATTGCTCAACATGATTCAGATTGACGAAACACAGTTCAAGAAGATCTTGTCGCTTATCAAAATCGGAGAAAAAGAAGGTGCCAAATTGGAATGTGGTGGGAAAGCAATCAAAGGCAAAGGCTACTTCATAGAGCCAACAGTGTTCTCGGGGGTCACAGAAAACATGACCATCGGCAGGGAGGAGGTTCGTATAAAATACAACGAGACAGGGGAAATCAGCTCCGATCCTGTCATGTTGAGCACATTGTAAGGTTTAATAAATACATCGTCTTGTAACTAATTATATTTCACCACTAACTGAAATACAGTTCTTGATACCAATTGATAAGGCAGACATTACTTGAAATCGAGTACCAAGTAAAACTCTGAATTAAAAAAAATGTACTTGTTCATTCAAACCACGGCATACATCGTGGTGATAAATGTCAAGATTAACACTGCATTAAACAAAAACATATGGCAGAACTAATTATGTTTATGAATTTCTATGTCGTCAAGAAAAGTTGGTTTGGGGCCTCTGTACGATCTTACAATTGTTGTCACATAACTGCGGTAATAATGGTCCTTGGCCGTAATCTATAACACGTATTACAATGTTGATTTATCGGAATAATTGATACAGATATGTCAAACCTTTTCTGAATGCACATCATACCTTTAAAATAATAACCATAACACATATATTCTCCTGTTTTATAATCATCTAACTGACAATACAGTTGTGTTGAAAATCCGAGATACAGATTTTGGTTATTGTGATAGACTTTAATCTGAGATGACAGTTAAGAAAAAATTACTGTTATGTACTTGAATATTGAACAGTGAAATTTCACAGATAATAGTCTTTCATCTTAAAGTTACCCCAGAAGTGTTCCTTCACTTTGAACACATTGTCTTTGTAATACTCCCGCGGTGTAACGTTCGAGTGATATTAGCTAGCATAGCTTAGCAATATTGGTATATTCATTTTTTAGACATTTTTTTCACACTGAGTTATCAAATGTTTCAGCGCCAATCTTACTATGTTATATAAAGTGTACCTATATCAAGACATAATATCTAGAAGGACGAAATAGCTGTATAATACTGTTTATATTAAAGCGTGCTATTCACGTGTGTGTCTTTTGAATAATCTTTGAAATAGCAGGTGGTAGACACTGCTGGTGAAATATGAGTCTTCGAGGTTTACTGTAACTTGCATGCCACGTTTTCAGTCATTCAAATAGTGGCACTTTTGATTTTCCCTCAGTCGCCTCCTAGGTTTAACATTAAGACTTTTACCGTCACTAACGACTCCTAGAAGACGAAACAATTAGTGAGGTTCAGTTTTCTTTATTTGTTTGAAATGGTGCTGTCCACTTATGAGTCTTGTACAATCTACTTTATGCATATCCTATCTAAATACAGTTTTAATTATATCATCTTGCAATATCGATTGGTAAAATGGCATTACGTAACTAAATGTATACGTTTTTAAATACCCGACAACCAATATCCAATCATTATATACTCTAAAATGACGTCATCCTTTTAGTTTGGATTTTGTAACATACATGTAAAATACCATTGATCAACATGACAAATAAGCTCATATCTAACCATACATGACGCAACCGAGACTATTTTCAACAGAACTCCAATCAAAAGTTACACTGACACGATGCTTTAGAAGGATGTTTTGAAAATACAAACAGTACAAATAACTTTTGTTCCATTTAAGTGTGGTTGGGTATTTTTGTCGAGTCTTAAAAAAATCTTCTCTTTCATTGGATTCAGATTTTCGGGCCTGTTCAGCAAATAATAAAATTTAAGGACATGGAGGACTTGATTGAGAAAGCCAACAACACAGCATATGGACTGGCTGCTGCCATATTCACAAACGACCTTGAGAAGGCAATAACCTTTAGTAATAATGTAAAGGCTGGATCTGTGTGGTAAGTTCAAATAAAGTCACCAAGGTCACAACTCCTAGAAAACGAAAGGATACTTACATTGATTATAGAATGGTGGCTCGCCAAATATCCACAAGCTCATTGTGAAACGTGTTAGTGTCCATGTGTCACGATACCGTTCAAATCCTTTGAAATTCTATTTTTGTGGAATTCGGTGTGTAACTCTGTATGTCACGTCCAAGTTCCTTTGACAACTAACAAGGTTTAGAATACTTTTAAATATTGTTGATTTCAAACTATTTTAACTGTTAGCCAATGGGGAAAGCACCTAAATTCCATGATTCCCGTAAAATCGCAAAATTTCATCAATGGAATAAAACACTTGTACTTCATGTTCTATTAACACTAGCCAATATTCCGACTTTTCATACTGATTGATATAAGGAAATATTGAATTTCCCATGTAATAATACATTTTGTATTTAACTATTCCTCCTTTGGGCTTCACATCATGTCTATATTTTTTATTCCAAGAACGTCTCTAGAAGAATCCTTCAAGGAGATTTTATTTTTCAGGGTGAATGCCTATAATGTCATTTGTCCACAAAGTCCATTTGGTGGGTTCAAAATGTCGGGAATAGGGCGAGAATTGTAAGTAAATCTGCGTTAAATGCAAAATGATTATATGTTGATATAATCAAACACAGGGGCTAATGACGAATGACTCAATATGTAACAACATCTTGTATATTTCTGCATCACAAGTAAAAAAAGATGTTAACTGCCATATATATGACTATTGTTAACAATGTAAGAAATCTTAGAAAATAGATCTACATATATGAAGGTGTGACTTTACTATTTCGCCATTGTTGTAAAATAAAGTTACATTTTATCTATTATTTTAGAGTTGTCGAGTTTTTTTCGGCACTCCTTGTTGACCGTCTCGCCACTTCTGCTCATTCATGATGTATTTGATCTCGTACATTTCAGGGGAGAATACGGACTTCAACAATATACAGAGGTCAAAACAGTAAGTCGATAGTAGTCGATGTATATATTATCGTCATAGTAACGATACATATATAGCTACATAAGAAATACTCTTCATTTACAGATACTTGTTATCTTTAAATTCCTTGTTTTTATTAATTATATTTATCGTTTCTTTTGTATACAAAATCAGTATTTTCTTCTACATGCGATTTTAGCAGCTTTTTAATGTTTGACTTCCGTTATCATGAAGTTAAGCTACCTTGTCCAGCCCAAAGGTATTCGATCGACTTGGTAATAAGTGAAAACTTGATTTGTTTTCAGCTGTTTTCAGGTGTAAATTGCTTAAATTTATCTCAAATTACCATAATTATATTATTGTTATTAAACACACAATGATAGATAGGTATGTGAACAGGTATGACTGATTCCAATCATCACGTGTCTCTCGGTGTTTTTACATTTTAGCCTGTTATCCAGTCCAGTAATATGTTTACATGTATGTCACTTGTGTAACGTACCCTGGATTGTTTTTCATTGGCTGTGCCAGTCAAAAAGCGATTGTGATGTCATAATATGGACAATGACGTTATTAAGAATGGCACAGGAAAATTGTTGCCCCCAAATTGATTCTGTTCTACACATTTTTAAGTTTAAAAGTGTATCTGCTCTGAGTTATGCGAAAAAAATACCTTCAATATGTTTCCATGTCATATGAGATTTTATGTAACTTGTCCCGAAGTTTTAATTATGGCTAGCCTTGTAACATACCGGTGCGCCATCAAAAAAAAAACAAAAAAAAAAAAAAAACAGAAACAGACATGAAAGCACATTCAGACCCTATATTTATCACATGATTCCTGTTATATTTAGCGAATATGTAATATTTTTGTGTATTGTATTGTGTAATACAGCCTATTGTGACGGTCAGCGTGACACGAACTAGTGTTTTCAGTAATGTTTACCAAAATAATCATCAGAAGATAAAAAGAATCTCATATATGTCCCCATTTCTAACGTAGTTTATGAAACGTGCCACACATTTTTCATTTAAGAAATCCTTACACTTTTATAAACCACGTTTGTTACAGGTACTGATGAATCCGATGGCTAAAATTTAGGTTTACCCGTGGATATGATACAGAGGAGCCAAATCAGTGAAAGGTGAAATCACAAAAGATCTAGACAATGTCTTTAATTGATAAAGTACATCAAAGCCGTATAGAAGTAGTGCCTAGACAGAACGCCAGCAGACGTTTCGCCAAATTCCACAAAAATACAGGAAACTTCTGTCGTATATCTTTATCTGGCAGGTTTTGTTTTAAATACAGTGTGTAAATAATGTAACCAATATTTTGTTTTTATTTATTCATTTTTTTATTGATTCAAAATGAATCAATGGCAAAATATCAACAGAATGATACTTTACTGAGGAGAAATGGACTTCACCCTCGGGTAATCTAAATCTAGATCTATGTCATCTTCTCTCAGAGCTCGGTAATAACGACACAGCCAGACATCATGACAAATATCGTACACAGATTATTAGGTCATATCACACAAGGAACGCAAGGAACTTTAAAACATTTCCTAAGCTTCTACAACTTGCAGTTCTCGAAATACTGGGTTGAGGGATATTCCCCCGTCGCCAGTCAACGCGACATTTATCTGTATCGGGGAAAATCATGATACCAGGGACAAGCCCTAAAATGTCGATCAACTGCTGCACACAAAAACAGAAGTAGGATAAAGCACGGTAGATATAAAATTACGCCATGGGGATATAACCACACGGCCTCCGTTTTAGTCTGTCTTGTTTTCATCTTGTCTTTTCTGTATATCAAAATATTCCACAAATCAAATAATCACAAAAAATCAAACGAGTATCTGAAACTTCAATGAACTCAGAAATTTAACTAAGGGCAATAATTCTGTAATTAAGTGGTTCAGGCACTGAATTCCGTACTGTACACATCCTCTTCGCATAACCAAAGTATACACCTAGTTATAAGCAAAACAAAATTATGCCACGGAAATTTGAACAATCGGCACCGACTTTTAAGAATTAAGAAATTGCAGACCCTGAATTGTGTACACTGCACATCCTATTAATATGACCAAGTATAAACCCAAGTTTCAATATTCTGATTTAAATGCAAATCAAGTTATGCTCCAGACACGAAATTTTAATAAAGGGCAATAACTTTGTGTCTGAGGGATCGTGGACCCTGAATTAGGCACACTGCACATCGTCATTGTAAGACCAATGTATACAACAATTTTCACGAACCTTGCTAACCTGTTAGAACAGTTATGTTTCGGACATGAAAGGACGGACAGAAAGACAGATGGATAGACAAAGTGGCGACTATATGAGCAAAAAAAAAGTAAAATAAAAAGCAAACAAACACACACACATCAAGTGATCACAAAAAAAACTTAAAGCATTTTATTGTTGACCTATAAGATATCCATAATTATTTTGTAAGGGAACAATGTACATATCAAACACACATATATATTTTTTTAAGAATAATAAATTCCAGCAGATTTTATAAATAAAGTTACATATGTATCTAACAACACGAAGCTGTCTGCTATCTTATGGCATACTATATATTGCGGAATTGTAAAACAAAAACAAAACAAAAACGTAACCAACTTTTAGTGAATACATGTTGTAACAAATGTATATGCAACATTTTCCCAATTTCTGGCAGAAATTAGTATACATTCCACAAATTTCTTTTTATAAACCTCCTTATCAGTGATAAAATTTTCTACAGTCATCGTACAAATTCTACACGTCTCATAATTCTTAATGAGAATAATTAGGTTTTGGAATGGCAGTGATCTAGACGACACAGATACAGAAACGTTGTCAGACACAGAAACGCTGTCAGACAAAGAAACGCTGTCAGACACAGAAATACTATATCAGGTACAAAGCAACGCTACAGATGTACATAGATACTAAATGGCTACGTCAGGTGCAGAAGTCAGATATTGGGGACAATACACTGTATATATGCTGGGTACAGAAACGCTATATTTGATACAGAAAGTCCAGATGCCTGAGATAGAAAGTCTGCATACATGTATATGTCACAGAAGCACCAAACTAAGTATTGGAACTCAATGTAAGAATCAGGAATGCTAAATGTGTCAGGTACAGAAACACCAGTTGAAAAGACAGAAGTGTTACATACAGTACAGAAACACAACTTTAGGTACAGAAACAATATGCTGGGTCACAATGTTAAGTACAGGAACATTATGGAAGGTTCAGCAATACTACATGTATAAAAGTTACAAAAACACTACAGTGAGTACAGCAACGCTACAGTCTGTGAGGTACAGAAACGCTACAGTGAGTACAGCAACGCTACAGTCTGTGAGGTACAGAAACGCTACAGTCTGTGAGGTACAGCAACGCTACAGTGAGCACAGCAACGCTAGAGTGAGTACAGCAACGCTACAGTCTGTGAGGTACAGAAACACTACAGTGAGCACAGCAACGCTACAGTGAGTACAGCAACGCTACAGTGAGTACAGAAACGCTACAGTCTGTGAGGTACAGAAACGCTACAGTCTGTGAGGTACAGAAACGCTACAGTGAGTACAGCAACGCTACAGTGAGTACAGCAACGCTACAGTGAGTACAGAAACGCTACAGTCTGTGAGGTACAGAAACACTACAGTGAGCACAGCAACGCTACAGTGAGTACAGCAACGCTACAGTCTGTGAGGTACAAAAACACTACACTGGGTACAGAAACGCTACAGACTGTGAGGTACAGAAACGCTACACTGGGTACAGAAACACTACACTGGGTACAGAAACACTACACTGGGTACAGAAACGCTACAGTCTGTGAGGTACAAAAACACTACACTGGGTACAGAAACGCTACACTGGGTACAGAAACGCTACAGTCTGTGAGGTACAAAAACACTACACTGGGTACAGAAATGCTACAGACTGTGAGGTACAGAAACGCTACACTGGGTACAGAAACACTACACTGGGTACAGAAACGCTACAGTCTGTGAGGTACAAAAACACTACACTGGGTACAGAAACACTACAATGGGTACAGAAACACTACACTGGGTACACAAACACTACACTGGGTACACAAACGCTACAGTCTGCGAGGTACAGAAACGCTTCAGTCTGTTAGGTACAGAAACACTACAGTCTGTGAGGTACAAAACACTACAGTCTGTGAGGTACAGAAACGCTACACTGGGTACAGAAACACTACACTGGGTACAGAAACATTACAGTCTGTGAGGTACAGAAACGCTACAGTCTGTGAGGTACAAAACACTACAGTCTGTGAGGTACAGAAACGCTACACTGGGTACAGAAACACTACACTGGGTACAGAAACATTACAGTCTGTGAGGTACAGAAACGCTACAGTCTGTGAGGTACAAAAACACTACACTGGGTACAGAAACGCTACACTGGGTACAGAAACGCTACAGTCTGTGAGGTACAAAAACATTACACTGGGTACAGAAATGCTACAATGGGTACAGAAATGCTAGTCTGTGAGGTACACAACACTCTCTTGGGTACAGAAATGTGATATGGGTTAAGAAAATCTATGCCTGATACAGAAGCCTTGTCTTAGTAAAAGAAACACTGTCAGGTACAGGAATTCTATATTTTTGGTGCACAAAACATTCAATGTACATTACCATAAATAAGTATTTCCTTCAAAATCTAACAAAGAATAAATTTCAAATGCTTCTATCTAATAATCACTGATCATATCTAGACATAAGTTTATGTATTACAAAAATGTACTTTCTTCATCATCTTTACACAAAACAATGCCCTGAAAAATACACCTTTAAAGAATCAACAATATATGCTCTGTATATATGTATATTTGAAATTAACTTATGTAACTCTTAAGTTTTTAATGTAATTGATATATATGATTATAAAAAAATAAAGAAAGTTGATCTACATTAGATCTGGAATTCAAATCTGGTTAAAATCTGGATTTATTATCTTATGAATGGTCTCAATAATATATATACACACACAAGTGGACCTACATAAAATCTTGTATTCAGTTCTGGTTAAAAGCTTTATTTCTTATTATATGATTGGTCCCAATATAAAAACATGCAGTTTTCCTATATTTAGGTCTACATCAAATATTTATTTAATATACATGTAACATTATAAGAATATATCCATATAAGTTGTCAGCAGTTTGACCTTGTGTTCCTCCTGGTTATCTTAGATTTCTAGTTTATACAAGAGATCTCACAAAGACCTTGGTGTTTTCCATCAAATGTTGGAGTTTTTCCCTATTTTTTCTCTTCTTTCCTTTTATTTGCTTTTCATTAAATGAAATTTGATAATTTACCATAAGAAGAAGCAATAATAATCTTTAGCTTTCAAAATCCAAGATGACTACAGTCATTTTACTGTCCAGCAAGTTCCAAAATCAGAAGGGTACAAGTATGGACCAAGGGTAACCTACATTTAGGTTTTGTGAAAGATCCATCCAGGTTTTTTCAAGAAATAGTGATAATAAACTTTCAAAGTCAAAATCTAAGTAAGCCACTGGTCAACCATTTTGCTTTTCTGACCACTCAAAAACATCAACAAGGCACAACTAGGGACAATGGAGAATGTACCTAGGAAATTTGAAAAATATGCAAGAAGTTTCTCTTAACAAAAATAGTGATAACAAATTTTCATAGTCAAAATCCAAGAGAGCCACCTATCAGCTATTGTGCTTCTCTGATCTGTCCGAAAATATGAAGGGCACAACTAGGGACCAAGGGCAACAACCATGTGACATTTGAGCAAGTTCCATAATCCCGTTTTTTTCAAGAAATAGATATGAAAAACTTTCATAGTAAAAATCCAACATGGCCTTGTGTCAGCTAATCAGTATTTCCACAATCGAAATCAAAAGAACAAACTAGAAACCAAGGGGAGCATACATATGAAACTGGAGAAAAAACATTGATGTTTATGTAGTATTTCCTAAGAAAAGGTGATAACAAACAAACTTCCATTGTCCAAAATCAAACATGGCCACCAGTCACCCATTCTGTTTTCCTGATCAGTTCCAAAATCAAAACGTTACAACTAGGGACCATAGGGAAACCTTCATTTTACATTTGAGGAGATTTATCCCGTACGTGAACTTCCCGGGAAATAGTGATAACGAGAAGTGTTTAAGGACTGATGATGAACCATGGAACACGGACCACAGTCCATGGTCAGCTAGAAACATAGTAGAAAAATCAGTCACAAGAAATTGACAAAGTGTGTCTTTAAAAACAAAATCTGAAACTATACTGTACATGAATGTTGATAATTCTACAATCTTCCAACTTGCCTTAAGGATAAAAACTTGTAAAATATTCCTACTTAGATGGTACATGTAAGTTAATGAAGAGATCTTAAATTATGAATCATTATAACCAAATACATTAATACTCCAGAACACATATAACTAAATTGTAAAGAAAACAATGAACTTGTAATAAATAAATATATTATGTTATACTATCTACATCTATTAGAGAATCCATCATCTACTCTCCATGTGAATTTGACATATAGTATTACTAATAAAAAAGCTTCTAGCATTCAGAGTATATGACAATATGTGAACATTTGAAATGCAAATATATCAATGATAATATTAGCCTGTTCAGCATGAACAGAAAAAGGGAAAACATTTTGAAATCAGTTTTGATTTTGTTGTATCAAATAATACTGACTTATTCTGAAATCTATTGACACCAATGTAAAAAAAAAGATGATAGAATGTCACAATAATTTGGAAACATGTATTGATAACTAAGACAAGAAAAATCTCCAATTGGAGATATTTCCAAAGAACCAACATCCTGCTAAATTCAGATGTGTATGGAGGTTCATCTTCTAGACTTCAGGAAGATACCTAGTGGTATATAGGGGTTTCTAAAAAAAAGTGGTAAACTACTGAATAAGCCCATTACTGTAAATGTAACAATTTAAAAATTAAAAAAAAAAAACTCCATCACTTGAGCAAGGTGATCTTTTCTACTTTCTTCTACAGCAAGTTACTGACATGATGCAGCTTTAAAAGCAAGCCATCATCAGGGCATTGCTTACATGATGTTCATATAGTGACAAGAACTTCTCCAAGCCCCAGATGAAATGAAAACCACTTCTTCATAAGGATCTATACTATCACATTCCAAGCCTCATACATTTATTACATGGATGTTGAACCAACTCTATTTAACTCTTCACTCTCCAAGGGCAGCATGTGATACTCAAAGAAATATTATTTTATAAACTTTCATTCAACAAGATGAGTTGGATCATTGGATATTGCCCAAAGTTGCATAGCTGTAAGAAATTAAAATCAACTCCACCACTTTCTACACACTTTATCATCTACCTGTCTACCTTGTCTTAATATCCTTCTTCAGCTGAACATAACCTAAGAGTTTCTGAAATAAAAGGAAGCCCTAAAAATTTTCTGATGCCAAGACATTTCTTTCTCCAGGATCTTCCTTCATAAACCATTTTTTGTTTGAACTCTTTAGCTTGTCCTCATAGCGTTGTCTTCAATTATTACTCTACACATACCCCTAATACGAATGATAGTTTTTAAGGCCGAATTATGTCAGCAATTAGCTGTAGAAGAAAGTAGAATATATCACCTTGCTCAGGTGTTGGACCTCTTCTTTTTAATTTTTCAAAAACTTGTCATGAATGTTATATTTACAGTAAAGGGCTATAATACTCTCGTTCTATTTAAAAATGACTAAAGTTAAAAGACATTTTCTCTATTGAATTCAATAAAGTATATTTGAATAACACGATGGTAAATTATCTTTCTTTGAAAGATATAAACGTTTTAATACATGTGGGTTTCCCATATTTCTATTGTAATTTTGTACCAACATGCAAAAGGTATACATTGATCACATTTGAACCTAAGTTTTCATTATAAAACAAAGTATAAAACTGTCTAATCATGTTTCAGACATGCACCAATACAAAAACAAACCAAAAAAAAAAATGTGTTTATGAAACACTGCCCCAAGATGTACAAAACTTCTGGAGTGGAACATAAAAAATGTACTGTGTAAGACATATGCTAATTGCATACACCCTTTGTGAAACACTTGTCTTCACCGAGATCTGAATTCACCCTTCCACACAAAATATGCTTGTATACTCAGATAATGAGGGAAACATTGCAAATTTTCAATATGTGCACCCGCAGCAATGAACAGAAACTGTGAATTATCGGAAATTTTCTAAGTTCAAGGGGTGTACCTCTGTCAAATATTAAAGCCTATCTCCTAACAGTGATACAGTTAAGGCCAATGTTTTAAGTTTTTCAATTATATGTCAAAGGTCACAGTCATGGTCAAAATTATATGAAAGCCCTACCTCTTACATTGCAATAGTTATGGGCCAAGTTAATGTTGACAAAAGACAAACAGTGCTCACAAAAAAAAAAATATGTCCCTGATCTTTCAATGCAAGGCATGAAATGATTCAGGATAAATAATTATTTTAGCAAGGTATTACATTCCAAGTCAGAGAAAGATTTAGAAAGTTAATCGCAAGACTGCTAATTTAAACTATCGTAAGACTTTATTCAATTTTTTTTCACTACACTCTATATATTTCTTAAAACTGGTATCTCATCTCATCCTGCATGTGACCATCGTATTTTCAATTAAGCTAAAGTTACTATATATGTATGCAGTTTTGTATATATTCCTAAATCAAAAATATACCTATTGATACAAACATAGGTTACATGTATCTGTTGATTGCAGAGTACACCACATACCATCAATATGTTAAAAAAGCAGGAGTTGTATCATGGAGTCAGATTAAAATTTATAAATTGTACAATATCTCACTTACATCTAAAACAAAAAAACGTTGTAAATATTATGCCCTATTCACAAGGATTAACATCACAACTTCACATGTACATTTATCATAAAGAAAATATTGATTTAGCCACCAACCACAATTTCTGAGTTGGGAAACCTTGGTGTTTCTATAACCCCTTTTCCAAACTTATATTCTAAAAATTGTCTGATATTATTCGGTGCAGAAACATTCATTCCAATGAACTCCACTTTCGTAAGTGGTTTCAGATAATTTTCCGGAAATTCTGTATCCTGTCTATGAGTTTTTAACCACGTTCTTTTTGTCATTATTCCAGACTTTGGATAAAAAGGGAATATATCTACATGATTTCGATTAACAGTACTGTAATGGACTCTAAAAAATTCTCCTTCAGTTGCCTTTTCCCAGTGGAATCCTGCTTCATCAGTAAAACTGTTTCTCTTTGTCAATGTTACAAACTGGTCACATTTGTCTAGGTCTTCTTTATAAACACCGATGTCAACATCATAGTCCCATGGAATGATGTCCTTGTGTCTTACTGCTCCCAATAAGCTGCCCCCTTCTAGCCAGTAACGAGCAGAACATTTATTCAACATATTAAAAACATGTCTGGCTGTTTCTCTTATTGCTTCTAAACAACAAGGTGGAGTCCATTTTCCTCTATATAAAAAATCAGGCATATCGTTGATGACTGTTCCAAAGCATCTCTCTGTATCTTTTGTGCATCCATAATAAAACTCTTTTTGTTTATCATAAGATACCTTTTTAATTTCAAATTTTCTCATAGTATTTTCAAGTCTTAATTCTTCCATATGTTTATGTTTCCATTCACTTCGGAAATCTTTAAATATGGTTGTTGGCATAAAAACATTGCCTGAAAATACCCCTGTTTTCCATCTCCTCAGTGTCAATTGCATATACAATGAGACGTACAGTGGACGTTCGAATGGACTTGTCAATTCAAAAAGGTCATGAGTCAACATTAACAGTGCATGGTTGCCTTGCACATAGTCACACATTCCTTCACCTCCGACAAAGTTAGTGAAATCAACAGACCATGATCTTAAGTGCACATCCATTCCAGGACAGTTGAGCTTTTCATAACCAACTGGGATGGCTAAAGCTTTTATAAACTTTCTCGTTTTCATGTTTTTGACAGCATGGAGTAAATGTTTGGACCTTGTTATGTTAGTGCCATCAGGAACGAACAGTGTGTATGGGGTTACAATCAATCTTTTGATGACATCTGTAGGATTGGTTAACATTGGCTGCAGTTGCAGATTCACAAAGTGCACCGTTTGGCTGAAGTTTAACTTCAGTGGTGGGTAAGGAATGTTATCTGAGATTACAATCACGGTCATATATGGTGATATCAGTTTAAAACTGTTTACCGTTTCATGTACACGGTTTTCGAAATCTTCGAATTCTCTAATGACAACTGTTACTTCCCTTGCGAGAACAAGATGTTGGGCATCTTCTCTGTGATAGTGTGAAGCACCGTCAGCAGATAACACGTATTGGTCAACAGAGAAAAGATTGTGCGCATACATCAGGTACAAAAATATCACCAAATTGATCACCAGCACAACCATAAGACATTTCATGTACTGTAAGCTACCAATTTTCAAAAACCGTTTTCGTGTGAAGAAACTGAACTCAGCATAAGATTTGAAACCATGTTTTTTGTTTCCTCTCTTTTGGGATTCTTTGTAGATGGACGCTGACATCTTGGTTAATACAAAATTAAGACTACCTAACTAAAACGACACGATATATTTTGATAATGTATTATATTTATTTATCATTCTTACTCAGGAGTAAATTATTCTATTGTATACAATCAGTGGTTGCTCGGCTCTAGTTTCGTCGATATAAATGTAATTCTTCATAACCCATTCCAACATAGTTTCGTTTCCAACTGGAAATTAAAGATCAGGATCGCGAAAGTGCTTACTTCAAACCGTAGGCGACAAACTTCAAACGAACTAGGAGCAGTGGGAAATTTTGAACGTCTCCGCGGGAAGATCATGGCAGACGAAAGTGAGTCCATGGAGACAACGAATGATGAATCCCAGAAGCCCGAACCAATAGGAAGAATGCAGATTCTTGACAAGGCTTTGGCACAAGCCAGGAAAAAGATAATTTCATCTGCAAAGTATGTCACCGTCCTCCACACCAACAATGTAGCGCTGCTGTTTTTGGTGATGAAAATATGTAATTGATTTCGTGTATTGTTTTGATTACCATAGGCTAAGCTTGTGGCATCGAACAAGAGCATGATAGTCCGAAATGCCTGCGAATGTTAACATCTGAAATATGCATTCGTTTAGACAGTTCATATCATGATTTTTCACTTTTGTAATTGGATATTTGATTGATCAATGTTATTGTCGAAACTCGAAGGCTTTAAGGTTCGACAATAACATAGATACTAAATATCTAATTTCAAGGGTTAAAAATCACGATATGAAACGTCTAAGCGGATGCACGTTTTATATAGGGACTAATTGGGTAAATTTCAGTCAGAGACATATATCAGTGTGGGATTTTGTGATGAAAAATTACACCACAAGTACATAGATTTCGTTTATCGTTTTGACTATATACAAAAATGTAGTTGAATCACACATAGGGACTTGTTTAAATGAGTTACAGTGTGAAAGAACAGAAGTATAACATTCCTGCACTAATTGTGTAGACAGAAATTGAACCCTGGCCTCCAAGGAGATATTATCCATAGCTCTACCAACTGAACCAAAGAAGCATAATGTGTCAGCTGAGTGACAGGGGCTGTATTTAACACTATGTACAAGCCATGCTGATCTGCTCATTTTACTGTGTAACTAATTACCTGACATTGGTAAGAGATGAAGGAGGGGAGGGAGGTATTTGAATACACACAAGTGTATTTAATGTGTCATGTGTCTTCTTACCCTCCGATCTTAGTCAATATGTAACTTACGACCACGGCCAGAGTAACCAATTGTTCACTTATGAAATAACGTCAGACTTAGCTATACTTTCAAATCTAATTTTCCTTTCTGATGAGACTTGACTTAGGTTTTGAGACCTGTATTTGTATTTGCAGGACTGTGTGTATATATGCCTGAATTTATATAGTGTTGGAGATCTGGTTTGTCTGCAATGCAGGCCACTGTGCAATCACAGGCACATCTAACAATACTTCAATTCAAAACTAGAACACTTATACACTAGCTTGTTATTACATGTAATATAAATGAACAAAGCTAGATTGTTTCCTGTAGTTTTGAACTTTTTAAGATTTTTGTTACATGCCCTTTTGGTTCAGTATGAAAATCATTTAGCCAAATCTTGCTAGAAATTTTAATTTTGAGTACCGTACATATATATTGCAAAGTATAGATAATTCTCTTCCTCTCTTGCTAGTTATTGTCAATTATGTATTACATTTTGTAACAAATGACAGGGCTCTCACACCCCATTTTGGGACTGGGGCCAGGGGCCCTTAGAATCGGGGAAAATAGCGGCGTTTTCCTTAGAATTGGGAAAACTTGGGGTCTAAATTAGGAAAAAAGATAATATTTTGCATTGGGAATGGGGCCGAATATCGGTACCAAATCTGGCAGATCGAGAGCCCTGAATGAAATTCAGAAACATATTGTACTTTACAGGGTTTTCCATAAGAGCCAGTCGCCGGCCAATTTGACTGGCTACTTTGATCATTTGGACGCCTACACCAATCCAGTTCCATAATAATGTTACGTACATGACTACACGTACACGGCAGACCAGCCTCCTACTTTCACTACACAGCCTACTACTAACAAAATTATGGAAAACCCTGACTCTAGATCTACATAGTCAGAGAGAGAAGAAATGATGATTATATTGGAACCTTTACCCACAAAGAAATATCACATTGAAGTGTAGAATGAGCTCAGCTACATGTACTGTTGTTTTCAACAGTTGAATTTCACTGAAGACAAGATACATGTATATATCTGTATGATTGTATAGAAATATTACAGACTGTTTAATAAGAAAATTATTTTAAAAGTGGATCATGTAATAATTTTTTCCCTTTACTTATTTTAGACTACAGTTATTTCAAAAACATCTTCGCCCTATTCACAAGAAGAATCCTGAAGTCCTCAAAAAGATACATGGGCAGCTCACAAAGCAACTAGACAGTCACATCAGTGTGAGTCATTTTAAAACAAAATTTAAAATGTAAGCTTGATTGTTCTGCTCCAATAACCCAAAAGACAGGTGTTCATGTTGCTATTTTATGACTTGTGATTTTTTGGTAATGGAAAATAAAAGCTGGTGCACATAGGTATGATAATAGTTTCAAAAATGGTAGCATGATCAGTGAAAATAATTTGTTTTGAAAATTGTTTTCTTGAAATTGCATGAAGTGAACCAATTATAAGGTAAATGTCATATGCATTGGTTCAACTCTTACATATACTGGTATATAGAATATACAATATTTTACACAAACATATGATTGTTTTTTGAGCTGTTATTGTACTTATCTGTTTGAAGGAGGAAGTGATGTTGATGTTTGCAGAAGAACAGATGGAAAAAATACTTAATGACTTGGATGGAATAATCGAGAGTCAGAAAGACAACGAAAAGGAAGCATGGTGAGAATTTAAATATTAGAAAGATATATATACATATACAAATGAACATGTATGTAGGTAAAAATGTAGAAAAAATGAATTTGGATGTTATACATGGAATTGTATTAAAGAACATTGGAATCATAATTTTTATGATAGCATCTGAAAAATTGTAATAATTGTGCTTGTGTTAGGCGGCCATCAGGTGACCCCCAACGAGACAGTCACGTGTACAATATCTCTGTCAAAGTGAAAGAGAAAGCACAGCTTGAACATGTCATCAGTCAGCTGGAGCAACAGAACACCCTGCTTAGGGAGCACGTGGCTCTGCGACAGAAAAAGCTTCTTGGCACTAAACGAACAGTGGATACAGGAATCAGCAAGTGGAGAGAGGTCAGTTGCAGTGTTTTGGTATTGGTATATGATGAGATTTTTTAATGTCAGTGCTACATTCATACTTATATACAGCAACTATACCATTAATTAAACTTTAAAAAGAAACTAAAAAACAAATCAGCAGAAAAGCTTCAGTCTTGTAGTTTTAACGGCTACATAAATAGATGTAGCTAGATACCAGAAAACCACAAAATGATTCGCTCCAAATGATACCACACAATGCATGGAGTATTCATTTAGTAAAGCAAACAAGTCTAATCCATTTTATTGCTACCAATTCTGTATAAAATGAAAAATTACTCTCCAAAATGAAAACCGTTGAAAAGAGATATTCTTTTTAGCCTTTGTAATTTATTTGTAGTAATTACATACACACACAATCAGATAGGGTCCTTGGGTGTGAATAGTTACTGTTTAGTCACACACATTCAGATAGGGTCCTTGGGTGTGAATAGTTAGTGTTTAGTCACACACAATCAGATAGGGTCCTTGGGTGTGAATTGTTACTGTTTAGTCACACACAATCAGATAGGGTCCTTGGGTGTGAATAGTTAGTGTTTAGTCACACACAATCAGATAGGGTCCTTGGGTGTGAATTGTTACTGTTTAGTCACACACAATCAGATAGGGTCCTTGGGTGTGAATAGTTACTGTTTAGTCACACACAATCAGATAGGGTCCTTGGGTGTGAATAGTTACTGTTTAGTCACACACAATCAGATAGGGTCCTTGGGTGTGAATAGTTACTGTTTAGTCACACACAATCAGATAGGGTCCTTGGGTGTGAATAGTTACTGTTTAGTCACACACATTCAGATAGGGTCCTTGGGTGTGAATAGTTAGTGTTTAGTCACACACAATCAGATAGGGTCCTTGGGTGTGAATAGTTACTGTTTAGTCACACACAATCAGATAGGGTCCTTGGGTGTGAATAGTTACTGTTTAGTCACACACAATCAGATAGGGTCCTTGGGTGTGAATTGTTACTGTTTAGTCACACACAATCAGATAGGGTCCTTGGGTGTGAATAGTTAGTGTTTAGTCACACACAATCAGATAGGGTCCTTGGGTGTGAATAGTTACTGTTTAGTCACACACAATCAGATAGGGTCCTTGGGTGTGAATAGTTACTGTTTAGTCACACACAATCAGATAGGGTCCTTGGGTGTGAATAGTTACTGTTTAGTCACACACAATCAGATAGGGTCCTTGGGTGTGAATAGTTACTGTTTAGTCACACACAATCAGATAGGGTCCTTGGGTGTGAATAGTTACTGTTTAGTCACACACATTCAGATAGGGTCCTTGGGTGTGAATAGTTAGTGTTTAGTCACACACAATCAGATAGGGTCCTTGGGTGTGAATAGTTACTGTTTAGTCACACACAATCAGATAGGGTCCTTGGGTGTGAATAGTTACTGTTTAGTCACACACAATCAGATAGGGTCCTTGGGTGTGAATTGTTACTGTTTAGTCACACACAATCAGATAGGGTCCTTGGGTGTGAATAGTTAGTGTTTAGTCACACACAATCAGATAGGGTCCTTGGGTGTGAATAGTTACTGTTTAGTCACACACAATCAGATAGGGTCCTTGGGTGTGACTTGTTACTGTTTAGTCACACACAATCAGATAGGGTCCTTGGGTGTGAATAGTTACTGTTTAGTCACACACAATCAGATAGGGTCCTTGGGTGTGAATTGTTACTGTTTAGTCACACACAATCAGATAGGGTCCTTGGGTGTGAATAGTTACTGTTTAGTCACACACATTCAGATAGGGTCCTTGGGTGTGAATAGTTAGTGTTTAGTCACACACAATCAGATAGGGTCCTTGGGTGTGAATTGTTACTGTTTAGTCACACACAATCAGATAGGGTCCTTGGGTGTGAATAGTTACTGTTTAGTCACACACAATCAGATAGGGTCCTTGGGTGTGAATAGTTACTGTTTAGTCACACACAATCAGATAGGGTGTGAATGGTTAGTGTTTAGTCACACACAATCAGATAGGGTCCTTGGGTGTGAATAGTTACTGTTTAGTCACACACAATCAGATAGGGTCCTTGGGTGTGAATAGTTAGTGTTTAGTCACACACAATCAGATAGGGTCCTTGGGTGTGAATAGTTAGTGTTTAGTCACACACAATCAGATAGGGTCCTTGGGTGTGAATAGTTACTGTTTAGTCACACACAATCAGATAGGGTCCTTGGGTGTGAATAGTTAGTGTTTAGTCACACACAATCAGATAGGGTCCTTGGGTGTGAATAGTTACTGTTTAGTCACACACATTCAGATAGGGTCCTTGGATGTGAATAGTTACTGTTTAGTCACACACAATCAGATAGGGTGTGAATAGTTAGTGTTTAGTCTATGTGTTCATCCTATAAATATATGCAAAGATTTCTCATGAACACCTAAACAGATTTAGTTTATATTCAAAATGAAGTATCAAAGAATTAGCAATGCATGGTCAATGGTCACATGTACCTACTTTGAAAAATGAAATAAAAAACTTTAGAAAAACGTAAAAATATGTCCTGAATCTCTTGATAAAAAAAGAGATAAAAATAACTCCATATCAAGTTTTACATCTGATTTAGTCAGTCAAATTTAAGGAACCAATACAATTTATGAAAACAAGCTTAATGATCATGACTGAATGAAAGGTATACTTATTATCTATGTGAACTGTGACTCACAAGTTTAAAAAAGTGTTTATTTTTACTGTAGATTAATGAAGCAGCAAAAAGCATTCCGACTAAGGACCTGGAACAATTTGTACAGAAGTATGGAAAAATTGTGTGACCTACCTGACCTTTAATCTGTTTCGGATCTGTCGTGGATTACTATGCCTATGACATGTAGACTGGAGAAGAATAGTTTCAGTGGCTTCTGGTTCTTGGTCATTGCAGTGAGAAGTTTTGAAAGTTTAACATCATCATACAGCTACTTGTTACTACCTCACAAGGTAATAACTTAAAGTAGCTTTTGTAAGTGAAAAGGAAACAAATGTTAAGATGTCTTTAAATATCTATAGTAAGACTGTAGCTTGGAGATCTTTATATGTGATTTGATAAATGCCTTAAAAGAAATTTTCAGATATTTTTTGGGGACATACTTTGTTCACTACACATGTTAAATCTTATGAAATTTTTCATTCTAAGCTTGCCTTAATTTTGAATGGGGAAACTGCCTTTTTTCAACTGTAAAAAAAGTTCCCAAAACAACTTGAATACATTTTTATACAGGAGGAGAGTAGTGAATTATTATGTTGATTGTAAAGCAATATGAGATAGCGTTCAGATTGATGTGCTGGATACTTGATTCACTTTATAAAAACTATGTATGAGGAGCAAAACGATGATATATGTCAACTTACGTATTCTACTTCAATGGTTTGTCCAGATTATATCATAATCTTTCATCTGAAACTGAGAAATTGTGTATTGTTACATTTTACGATGAGAGAGTAAATCCTTTAATCAAAAGTTTATTCTGTCACTTTTCCTGTACTTAACATTAAATAGCCTTATATTTTGTGTTAGTCCCTCTTTAAATTATAAAGTCTTGTGTATAATGAGTAATTGCTTTGTATACCCATGCTATTAATATGAAAGTGACAATGTAGTCAACTTATGAATTTGAAAGCAGCTCTGTATTGAAAAGATATCACTCCAAATGAAAATTTATATGATCAGTGATAAAATTTGTAGACGATGTTCACTGTGGCCAGTTTTGATAGAAGGAAAAGTCAACAACAAATAACATTTAACTTATCTGCCCAGATATATGATGACACAGCATGTTTACTTTAACTTGAAATTGTATAAAAGGATGCTTTATACACATGTATGACAGGTTTGTGAAGTTCATGGCTCCAGACAACTGCTAACTGGTGACATATGGAGAAATTTAACACATTGCAGCGGCCAAGAAATATAACAGTATATGTATAACATAAATCACTCTCTTGTGCCTATGATTGAGATGTTGCAGGAGTCACTATTTATGGAGTACTGTTCAGGCATAGGACAGAAGTGAGATGATCATGATCAGAGCATGATTCTTTCATGCGTATACATATGAATGTAAAAAACACTATATTGTATATATACAAATGTAACATAAAAAAGTACATAATGTTTGTAACACTGCCATATAACCATTTGGTTATGTCAATTATAGATACGTGAAGGTGTACATATGTACACATATTATTGATACTTGTTAAAGGACTGACAGGCCCTTAAACAGGTATTGATTGTTATGTTAGATTATTAAAAATCTCATGACATTTTTACAATTGATGATGTGTTGTTAATTATCCTAAATGTAGACAAGTAGTATTCACTATGTAGTGATACACACACAAATAAGACTAGCAATGGCAATCCAAATATGGAATCATATGGATGATTGAATACTTTGTTGGAAATACAAACCTGTCATCTACCATTTATCAACTGGAATGTGAGACTGTATAGAATAACTGTTAAGGAAATCATTTTTCATTTTCACTCGGGATTTATTATCACGCATGTGCAGTCTTAAGATTTAAGTATTTGAAAAGTCTGTCGTATATTTATTGATGAGAAGTAGAAAGAAAGCATCTTCTGTATCATTGACTACAACCACCATATAAACCTTGGTCAATTCAAGTAAGTAATGTCACTGTTTATATAAGACATACTAACAATCATCTTTTACTTCGTATCACAAGAGGTAATACATAAAGGATATTCCCCAAGATATATGAAATCATGATGTTGACCATGAAACTTTCTCATAGTTTTGATCAACATCCATTTCCTTATATGCCTGTCCGTCAGGTATTGCATCTTTCTCGGAAAGGAGATATTGGTAACAAGCCCATGGATATCGGATCAACTGGAGCAAAGGATTTTTTTCATCACGACACCCCATTGTATTAAAACAAAAAAACAGAGGAAAGTTATTTATTTAATGATGTAACGTTACAAACGTCACCATTGATTCACGACTCAATAAGTCAAAATGTCACAATTGATTCATGAATCAATAAGTCAAAATGTCACCATTGATTCACGACTCAATTAGTCAAAATGTCACCATTGATTCACGACTCAATAAGTCAAAATGTCCCCATTGATTCACAACTCAATAAGTCAAAATTTCACCATTGATTCACGACTCAAAAAGTCATGTCACATTGATTCACGATGCAACAAGCCAAAATGTCCCCATTGATTTATGACTCAATAAGTCAAAATGTCCCCATTGATTCACGACTCAATAAGTCAAAATGTCACCATTGATTCACGACTCAATAAGTCAAAATGTCCCCATTGATTCACGACTCAATAAGTCAAAATGTCACCATTGATTCACGACTTAAGCCAAAATGTCCCCATTGATTCATGTCTCAATAAGTCAAAATGTCACCATTGATTCACTACTCAATGAGTCAAAATGTCCCCATTGATTCACGACTCAATAAGTCAAAATGTCACCATTGATTCACGACTCAACAAGCCAAAATGTCCCCATTGATTCACGACTCAATAAGTCAAAATGTCACCATTGATTCACGACTCAATAAGTCAAAATGTCCCCATTGATTCACGACTCAATAAGTCAAAATGTCACCATTGATTCACGACTTAAGCCAAAATGTCACCATTGATTCACTACTCAATAAGACAAAATGTCCCCATTGATTCACGACTCAATAAGTCAAAATGTCACCATTGATTCACGACTTAACAAGTCAAAATGTCACCATTGATTCATGTCTCAATAAGTCATAATGTCACATTGATTCACGACTCAATAAGTCAAAATGTCCCCATTGATTCACGACTCAAAAAGTCATAATGTCACATTGATTCACGACTCAACAAGCCAAAATGTCACCATTGATTCACGACTCAATAAGTCAAAATGTCCCCATTGATTCACGACTCAATAAGCCAAAATGTCCCCATTGATTAACGACTCAATAAGTCATAATGTCACATTGATTCACGACTCAACAAGCCAAAATGTCCCCATTGATTCACGACTCAATAAGTCAAAATGTCACATTGATTCACGACTCAATAAGTCAAGATGTCACCATTGATTCACGACTCAATAAGTCAAAATGTCACCATTGATTAATGACTCAATAAGTCATAATGTCACATTGATTCACGACTCAATAAGTCAAAATGTCCCCATTGATTCACGACCCAATAAGTCAAAATGTCCCCATTGATTAACGACTCAATAAGTCATCATGTCACATTGATTCACGACTCAATAAGTCAAAATGTCCCCATTGATTCACGACTCAATAAGCCAAAATGTCCCCATTGATTCACGACTCAATAAGTCAAAATGTCCCCATTGATTCACGACTCAATAAGTCAAAATGTCCCCATTGATTCACGACTCAATAAGTCAAAAATGTCACCATTTATTCACGACTGCACAATTAAAATGTTACCATTGATTCACGACTCAATTAGTAAAAATGTCCCCATTGATTCACGACTCAACAATTAAAATGTCAACATTAGAGTTAGAATTTTCACTGTTGGTTCACATCTCAAGAATTCAAAATGTTGTTAATTCCTAACTTGATATTTCAAATTCTAAAATAAATAATAAAAAAAAATGTTGCTGTTGATTCACAACTCTAAATATCAAAATGTCAGTCTTTAACGCTGTTCAATTATAACTTCAGAATTCAACCTCTAGAAGTACAATTGTTGTTGATTCACAACTTCAGAATTTAACTTTTAGAATTAAAGGTGTTTAAATTGATTCACATCTCTAGAAACCAAAACGCCGCTGTTGATTCACATCTCTAGTAACCAAAACGCCGCTGTTGATTCACATCTCTAGAAACCAAAACGCCACTGTTGATTCACATCTCTAGTAACCAAAACGCCGCTGTTGATTCACATCTCTAGAAACTGAAATGCCGTTTTAACTGGCATCTCCTGAGATCAAATTGTCCCTGTTAATTCAAAAATTCAGAATTCAGCCTCTAGAATTAAAAGTGTGACTGTTCATTCACACCTTAGAATTCAAACTCTAGAATTATAAATTTCGCTGTTGATTTACAACTTCAGAATTCAGCCTCTAGAATTATAAATTTCGCTGTTGATTCACAACTTCAGAATTCAACCTCTAGGATTAAAATGTCGCTGTTAATTCACAGCTGCAGAGTTCAACCTCTAGAACTAAAAATGTCACCGTTGATTTACAACCTCAGAATTCAACCTCTAGAATTAAAAATGTTGCTGTTGATTCATAACTCTATATCTGTTTTAAACCAATGACATTAATAGGACAGAGGAAGTCTTGCTGATAATCAAATAACACATGCATTATCAATTGTTCTACATGTAAAACATAATTTCTAGAGACTGCAGAGATTAACTCGGACTGAAACATCAATAACATACTTTTTTTAGTTATCATAAATAACTGGGTTTTTTTTGAGGAATCAGATATCACAGTCATTGTCACTTACTTTTCTAAATCTTCTCTTTGAGAAGGCAGATCCATATATCGTCAGCACAGTAAATATACCTATTGTGTATGTAGTTTTGTGGAAAAATCTATACTTAGTTTAGAATATTCTTGAATAATTATAGACTAATAATGTTGAAGTTTGTTTTATCATTACCTTTTAGCAGTGATTTTCAAATGACATAAGGTGATGAATCAAAGTAACATGAACAGGTGATGGGCAGTACAGGATCATCTTATCACCCAATAGATAAAATGATCGGCTAGAACGTTATTCGACGATCACATCATCAACACTGGGACCAAAATCAATATAACATCTTGGCGGAGCTGGATCCGGTGCCGTGCAGCGTGCGGATTTGGGCACACGCGATCAATACTGGGAGTGCAAGTTATAAAATGGACAGAGAAAGACTAATCATCATGATGACGATGTCATCTGTACATCTCGCGCACATGTGTGGCTATCGACGTGAGAGGAAGGTCGAAAAATGCTGCAGTACAAAGACCCGGTGAAACCCACCATGTTTATGTAAGTACGATACGTGTTGTACACTATGTTGTACAGTGAACACGTTTTCTACTGTTTTACACACTTTTCATTACGTAGTTTACCAGTCTATATGGTGGTAAATGGCATCAGAGTGGGTTAAACGTGTTGCTACGATCTGTTTGAGCGTCGTTCCCCCACGGTTGGGCCTCTGTATATCATTATTATCATTATTTTGAATATTTACATACGTGTTGAAATAGTGATCGTCGAGTTGTTGTATTTCGGCCATTTACTCTTTTTCTTTCAGAATGTCCCTGACCAACAGGACCTACTTATGATTTATCATAGAACTGGTTTAGAGAAGGCGACAACAGATACCCCACGTTATCTTAATGGTAAGGCAGTGTGAAGCAGCATGTACCGTGACCAGTTCTAATAAAAATCTAACTCTACACCAATAATAGAATGTTTACCCATTTGGACGAATCGGACATGTACTATACACCAGGCAGTCGCCGTAACAAAGTCATTTCGACCATACTCGGTTGTAATAACATGAAGGGTAAACGGGACGGCTACGCCAGAAAGGTCAACTGCAAGCGGATGTTCATTCTAATAATAATTAGCATAGTATCGGTGTCATTTGCTTTGTTCAGTATATGGAAAACGACGTCTAAATCAGACGAGGGATTACGAAGTAAAGAGCACTGTCATGTCTCTCCGTATTATGAACATTTATACAACTACAAGGGACAAAATAGCCGGTATGCAGATTATTTGTTGATGCCAAATATTTCGGTTGAAGAAAAGGCAAGACACCCATTTGAAATTGAATTGCAAAATCTGCAATTTTTATTTAAAATCGATCAGCGATCTGGGACCTATGAGGTAAATCCCGAGGCGGAAATGTTAAACGAGAAGCGTTTTAGGTCAGGTCTGACAATACAGGAACTGGATTCAATGTTTAAAACATTTCATCATTTTTCCTCAGCACTGAAAAAGGCAAACGTGACATTCATGTTGTATGGTGGAACGTTGATCGGCGCACATCGTCATCACACAATGATTCCGTGGGATGACGACATTGATGTCCTCGTCAATGGATCTCAGAAAGAGGCCATGTCACGTGCTTTGGAATCCCTTTCGGAATACACTTTATATCGCCCTCCCCTCGTTCAGTGGAAATTCTTTTTAAGAAATACAACTCGATCTAAAAGGCCATTTGCCTGGCCATATATTGATATA